TTGAAGATAACAATGAAATACATTACACTTTCTCAATATGCCGTGGTCCATTGACTATTAAAAACATGAGTGTTAGTACTGGCTCTGTCACTATCTGAGTGTGTATGGACAAATCACCTAATCGTGATGAATCTTGCCTTGTGTGTATTCAGTTTCTCTAAAGACTTAGTGAGATATATGAGGAATGTGGTAGATACACTAGAAAATCATGCACAAATATAAGGTATTTTCTATATTATTACCTTGATTTGTGAAGTAAGCAGTAGTGTTATTTATTGATATTTAGTAGTGATTTTGCTCCTACGGTCCCAAACTAGTAGGGTAGTAGACTTTTTTTTTTTTTTTTTGCTTAAACTTTATCCTCTAGGCTTAAGTTTATATTTCTTTCTGTACCCAAATCTTCAGTTTTATTTCTTTGCTCTTCAATAAAGATATGAGAACACATGGAAGTGGCGGTGGTAAAGTCATGTAAGGAACTTCACTGGCCCACTCCATTTCGCCACATTCTCCTATCTTTCTGTCTGAACCCTCTAAGAATACTGTGCTCTGTACTGAAAAATTTTAGCAACCCCCGGATTTACTTGCATCATTGCATAAAAAAGGCATAACCCTGTCAGTGCCACATAAATGAGAACAAGCAAAGCAGTGCTCTCTTAATTCATTAGCATTCACTTTGCAGCACTGGACTCCTAATTAAGATTCATAAGTATTCATATTCACTCAGGCTATTCTACATTTTATTTGCTACATTTGGTTAGAAATATTTAGACACATTAAATGTTCTTCCAGTCAGAACAAATACTTCCTGTGTTTGTGAATAAGCCAACTGATAATTGTCCACTGTCAAAAGCAAAATATAAAAACATGTTTTGTTCCCATTTTCAATTTTCCTTTATTTCTTTACATAAGTCATTGTATTTGGACAAAGAAAAGTAAATTGTTCTAAGAGTGAACTTTTGAATTGGTATTGTTAGCTTCTTCCTATGGTAATAATGTCCTCAAGTTATGCTGGTAAATATATTACAGAAAACTATGAACCTGAGAAGTTTGCACCTTTGATAAAGAAAGTGATCAGATGACAGGAGGGTGACTTGAAACTCCAACACCTGAGTATTGGTTGAAGGGTTGATAGATGATTATTTCAGAGGAAAGATTTTATGGGCTGGGGAACAGCTTTTGCTAGAACATAAGAGAGAAATTTGTTTTATTCTATGTTGTCTCAAAAGATACAACCAGGATTGACATGTAGAAATTATAAGGAAAGAAACTGTAGCTCAAAAATGGAAGACCTCATTAATAATTATATTTGTTCAAAAATAACATAATCTGACTTTGGAATTCCACAGGATAATGGGGCCACCAAATTTAGAATCTCCATATATATTCTGAATACCATACAGATCAGAGACAATGAATAAAACTGCCCAATAGCTCATGCCTACAACATGACTAAAACAGAATAACACTTAAATTTACATGTGACTAAGATAAACATTCAGAAACCAGAAGAACCACCTCTGGATCTCCCACAGAGCAGGAAGTGGCACTTGGGGTGCGCAATGCAGATATAATCATCTTCCAAAAGATAGAGTCCTGCTATCTTTTGATAGTATATAAATCTGATATCTGGATGTTCAGAGTTCGGGTTATGGGGAAGTGAGAGGGAGGGCCTTGAAAGTGGATGCAATCATATTGGGAGTTGTACCCCTTCTCAGGAAGAGCAGAAAGACTTGGAAGGAAGAATGGCTTTGAATCCCCATGGATTTGAGGGATAAGGGGAAAGAAGGAATAAGTCGTAGAAAATAAAAGATTTTACAAAAACAAAAGAATATAGAAACATCAGAAGACACCATTATCCTCTCTCCTCTGCCCACAAAAAAATGTAGACATTACTTAAAGAACCTGCACTTCATCATACCAACAGAAGAGGGGACTCTTGCACTAAGAAATCTAAAAAGCCACCGAACTTCCTTTTCTCCTTACAATTGTTATTGCTGGCATAGGAAAATATAAGATATTCCAAAATTAACAGAAAAAGGAAGACACCATCCATACTAAAGGTATTGTATTAGAAAACCAAAAAGTGAAAAGCAAAACATTTCAGATGATGAAAATTATTCCCCAAAAAACAACCACAAAGCACAGAAAAATATGCCATCTAAATTAAATATCCTTAAACAAGTATTTGGTGATATGAAAAAACTCAAAGAATATATTTAAAAGTTCAAAATAAAAATTAACATAAAAACAAGAAGATGTAAAATGAGAGTTGACTAACTCAGGAACAAAACTGAAAATAAAGAAAAAATCATCAACAAAACAAACACAAAACTGGAAGACATCCAAGGAACAACACATTAGACTGAGAATATAATATGGGACATAAGCAAAAATTAAAACAACAAAATAATGTAAATAAAATAGACAGGTAAAAAAGATCAGCAAGAAGATAATAGAGAAGATGGGGGAAAAAAATCTAAATAAGGAAATGGTCATTAATGAAGGTTTTAGCACAAAGATAACTATAAGAACAAAAACAAACAGAACATGTAAAATATATATTTTATATATGTATATATGTAATAATAAATATTTATAGCAAACATATAAATATATTTATAAATATATAAATACATTAAAAATACATAAATATTTATTTTATTAAGTATTTATAAATAAATACATAACTATTTTATGTATGTATGTATATATTAAAGGTATTAAGATAAGGAACATAAAAATATATAAACAACATAGAAAAAGAAATGCAACAAATACATAATACATAGTAAATATGTAAATATTAAACATATAATTATATCAATAAATAAAAACGAATTTAACTCACCTATTAAAAAACATTTTCATATTGCCTCATGTAGCAAAACCCAACTGTTAAATAAACAGACCCACTTAAAACAAAATGATTCAGAAAAGCTAGACAAGGTAAATGCAAATGAATAAGAAATCTTGATATTCCATGGCTTGGAAATATCAAATTAGACAAAAGGTTATTTCATAATGCTAAAGGATCCAATTCACAGTGAAGAAGTAATGGCTATGAACACATATTCACCATATAATCCAGTAACTTCCTTAACAAAGCATAAATTACAGAAAACACAGAAAAACAGACAGAACTACAAGGAAGCTTAATACTTCACTCTTGCTTAAAAAAAAAAAAGAAAAAACATTAAGTAAAGATATATATATAACCTACATAATATAATCAATAAGGTAGATCTTATTGACACATACAAAAAAAGAACATACTTTTTTCTCAAGTGTACATGAAGCATTCAGTAAATCTGACCATCTATGAGGTTACCAAAATCTGTTGTTTCATAAAGTAAAATTAATGCCACATTCTCTGACTATAAAACAATAACTAGAAATTAATTAAAAACAGAAAACAAAGACCCTTAAGTGAAAGGCCCTTCAATAAAAAAATTTTAAACTTGCTATTAAACAATTCTTTGGAAATGAAGAAATAAAATCAAAATTTCTAAATTTCTAAAGAATCGTGATAATAAAAAAATAAAAATCAAAGAATCTATGGAATACAATAAAAGTGGTGGTCAGAAGAAAATGTATAGCCTTAAACACTTATATCAATAAAATGAAAATATAAAAATAATCAAATTCCCAACAAAGAATGTTAGAAAAAGTACAGTAAAATAAATTTAAAGTATAATAAAGAACAATAATAACAGCAGATATTGAGTTATAAAAAAGAAAAACAAAATGCTAAATAAATCAAAATACTAGTTCTTAAAAAATAAGCAATAATACAAAGTACTAGCTTAACTAATCAAGAGGTGAAAAAGGAGAAAGCATACAAATAAAAAGTAAGACATAATAAAGAGAAATTTATCTTGAAACAGGATTTTAAAATCATAAGACAGTAGTTTATAAACATCTATGCAAATAAACTAGAAAATCCTAGATGAAATAAATAATTTTAGGAAAAACTGAATCCTATAGAGATAGGCAAATTAAACAGACCAATTTCCATGGAATAAGTAGAGAAACTTATTTTAAAAACTATACTGTAATAAAGGAATCAGAATCAGATGTCTTCATAGAATAACTCTGTCAAAGTATCAAAACCACATGTTCCCAATACTACCTAAACTGTTTCAGGGAATGCAAAAAAAGGAGAAAAACCTTATAATTATTTTTATGAAGCAAGTATAATACTGATGCATCAACTTAATAAAGATATCATACATTTTTAAAATTCTTACGAATTCATTTCTAAATACTGATGCAAAAAATAATCCTAAACAAATATTAGCAAAAAATATCAACACTATATGAAAATAATACAGTATGAAGCAAGAGAGATTTATTCCAAAATTATAAGGATGGTTTAATATTAATTTAATATATTTTACTCTACTAATAATTTAAGAAGAATCATATTATCACCATAGAAGTTAAAAAGGCCTCTGACAAAATTTGACAACTATCCCTCATTTTTAAAAAATACTTAATAAAATACTATTTAATGCATATGTCCTTAACATGATTACTAAACATCACTCCTAAAGCTAATATCTTACATAATGGGAAACTTCTGACAAGAGGCATTCCCACCAGGATGAGGAACAAGGCAAGGAAGGAGTTCCATTGTCTCAGTACTTTTTGACATTGGCAGTATTAGCAAAGCAAAATCATAGAAGATTAAGCACTGTAAAAGAAGAAAGTAGAACTCCCTATTTGCAGATCATATGACTATAAACCTGGAAAATCCAAGGAATTATTTTATTTAATTTTAATTGTTATGTTAGTCACCATACAGTACATCATTAGTTTTTGATGTAGTGTTCCATGATTCATTGTTTGCATATAGTACCCAGTGCTCCATTCAATACGTGCCCTCCTTAATACCCATCACCGGGCTAACCCATCCCTCCACTCCCTACCCCTCCAAAACCTTCAGTCTGTTTCTCAGAGTCCATAGTCTCTCAAGGTTTGTCTCCCCCTCCGATTTCCCCCCCTTCATTTTCCCTTCCTTCTCCTAAAATCCTCCATGCTATTCCTTATGTTCCACAAATAAGTGAAACCGTATGATAATTGACTTTCTCTGCTTGACTTATTTCACTTAGCATAATCTCCTCCAGTCCCATCCATGTTGATGTAAAAGTTGGATATTCATCCTTTCTGATGGCTGAGTAATATTCCATTGTATGTATGGACCACATCATCTTTACCCATTCATCTGTTGAAGGGCATCTCGGTTCTTTCCACAGTTTTGCTATTGCAGACATTGCTGCTATGAACATTGGGTGCATATGGCCCTTCTTTTCACTACATCTGTGTCTTTGAGGTAAATACCCCAGTTCACATCTTGTGTCTTTGGGGCCCTTCCTTTCACTACATCTGTGTCTGTTGAAGGGCATCTCGGCTCTTTCCACAGTTTGGCTATTGTGGACATTGCTGCCATGAACATTGGGGTGCGTATGTCCCTTCTTTTCACTACATCTGTGCAATTGCTGGGTCATAGGGTAGCTCTATTTTCAATTTTTTGAGGAACCTCCACACTGTTCTCCAAAGTGGCTGTACCAACTTGCATTCCCACCAACAGTGTAAGAAGGTTCCTCTTTCTCCACAACCTTTCCAACAAATTTTTCTTGCCTTGTCAATTTTTGCCATTATAACTGGTGTAAGGTGGTATCTCAGTGTGGTTTTGATTTGGTGAATTTCCCTGATGGCTAATGATAATGACAAAAAATGGCTAACATTTTTTTAAGTATCTGTTAGCCATTTTTATGTCTTCTTTTGAAAAGTGTCTGTTCATGTCTTCTGCCCATTTTTTGACTTATTTGTTTTTTGGGTGTTGAGTTTGAGAAGTTCTTTATAGAGCTTGGATATCAGCCCTTTGTCCGTAGTCCCATTTGCAAATATCTTTTTCCATTCTGTGGGTTGCCTCTTTGTTTTGTTGACTGTTTCCCTTGCTGTGCAGAAGCTTTTTATCTTGATGAAGTCCCAAAAGTTCATTTTTGCTTTTGTTTCACTTGCCTTTGGAGAGGTATCTTGAAAGAAGTTGCCACGGCTGATGTCAAAGAGGTTACTGCCTATGTTCTCCTCTAGGATTTTGATGGATTCCTGTCTCACGTTGATGTCTTTCATCCATTTTGAGTTTATCTTTGTGTATGGTGTTAGAGAGAGGTCAAGTTTCATTCTTCTGTATATAGCTGCCCAATTTTCCCAAGGGATTATTAATAAGAAACTAAGTCAAACATAAAGTAGAAGGATATAAATTTAATACACAAAATCGGTAACTTTCATATATACAAATAATCAACCAGAGGATATAAGGAAAGTGCAAATGTGCAAAATGTATATAAAACTTGAAAACACACCTGTCTTGAATCAATGGAAACATATTCATTTTCTAGGAAAGAACTCAATATCCTGACAACATAATTTCTCTCCAAGATACTACATACATATGTAACATATGTATTTATATGCATATGTATATATACATAGCATTCCCAATAAAAATGTTTTCTTAACAAAGCTAATATTAAAGGTCATATTGAACAATAAGTAGTAAAGAATATTTTGGAAAACCTTTCAAAGGAGGAATGATGAAGCCATGCTCTATCAGATATTAGAACACATTAAAACCCCTTAATAGGTTTAATAGTATGGCATTAGAGCATACAGAGAAACAGACCAAAGAAAACAGAAAGGCCAGACTCAATTACATAGAGAAATTTAGTGTTTAAAGAGTATGGTATTTCAAAACACTGGGGGAAATATGAACACTTTATAAATTATAATGAAAAAATTATATCAATTTGGAAAAAAGATAAAATTGGATTTACACTTCACAATATACCTGAATAAACTCCAAATAGATCTCAGATTTTTATGTAAAAAATGAAATCACACAAGTACAAGAAGAAATATGGATATATTCCTTTCTAACCTGTGGGTGGGTAAGGCATTTTTAACTATGATGCAACAAAAAAAGTTGATAAATTAGACATTTTAAAAAGTTTTGCTTGGCAAATATAACAAGTAAAGTCAGAAAACAAGTGATAAACTGAGGAAAAAACATTTGCATCATAAAGACTAGTCTCCCTGATACCTGAAGAGTCCTTTAAAATTTGAGGGGAAAAAATCCAATAGAAAATGGGCAAAATGGATGATCACAAAGCTCACAGAAAAAATATTTAAATGGTTATTGAATATAATAATGTTCATAATAACCTAGAAAAATAAGGCTGAAGTAATACTGGTCTATACAGTTACAATGAATCAAGCAATTTATTGCTAGCTACTATACTTTCTATTTTATTTAGGAAATTATTAGCCTAGATTTTTGACTTTGTAACAGATTGTCTTCACATGAAAAAAAAAAGCACACATGACCCAGAACTGGCTAATGAAATTCAGCAATATACAGTGTAACTATTCAAGAAAAAATCCAGTGTCTAGATAGATGTTTGAAATAAATTTTATTGCCATCTACCCCCATGCTTCCATCACCCTCTCCCTCACTATTGGTAACCAATAATCTACTTTGTGTCTATTCTGAATATTTCATAAATATGGAGTCATATAATATGTGGTCTTTTGTGAGTGGCTTCTTTCACTTAAAATGTTTTCAAGGTTCATCCTTATTATAGCATGTCAGCACTTTTTATTGCTGAATAATATTCCATTGTATGGATATACAGAATTTTATTTATCCATTCATCAGTTGATAGACCTTTGGATTGTTTTCACTTTTGGGCTATTATGAATAATGTTGCTATGAACATTTATATACAAGTTTTGTATGCACGTTTTCATTTCTCTTAGATATATACCTAGGATTGGAATTAGTGGGTCATACGGTAACACTATCTTTAACATTTTGAGAAACTGCCAAATCATTTTCCAAAATAATTACATTCTGACCAAGGTGTTTTTCTATTTTTACACAACCTCCTTAACATTTATTATCTATCTTTTTTATCATAGTCATTTAAGTGGGTGTGAAATTGTATCTCATTGTGATTTTGATTTGTATTTCTTTGATGGCTAATGATGTTGAGTATTTTTTCATGTACATATTGGCCATTTGTGTATCCTTTTTGAAGAAACGTCTTTAGACGTTGCTGATTTTTTATTAACGGAAGTATAATTGACATATTAGTTTCAGATGCACAATAGAGTGATTATATACATTACAAAATGCTAAATGTAGTTACCATGTGTCACCATACAGAGTCATTATAATATTATTGACTATATCCCTATGCTGTACTTTTCATCCTCATGACTTATAACTGGAAGTTTGTACCTCTTAACCCCCTTAGCCTATTTTGCTTATTCTCCATCCCTCTTCCCTTTGGCAACACTAGTTTGTTCTCTATATCTATGCATGTTTCTTTTTTGTTATTGTTTATCCATTGGTTTCTGTGGGGGTTTTTTAGATTCCACCTATAAGTAAAATCATATGGTATTTGTCTTTCTCTAACTTATTTCACTTAGCATAATACCTTCTAGGTCTATCCATGTTGTTGTAAATGACAAGATTTCATTTTTTCTTATGGCTAATATTCCATTGTGTATATATACCACACCTTCCTTATACATTCATTCTATCAATTAACAATCCCTTGCTGCCTTTTGTCTTCCATTATTGATTTGAAATAGTTCTTTATATATTCTAGAGACAACTCCCTTATCATATATACCATCTGTAAAAAATCTTCTTCCGTTCTGTGGATTGTCCTAATATTTTTAAATCATATTTTATTGAGTTTGAATTCCTATAAGGCCATTTTCTCTAAGTTTGTTCTATAAATGTATCTATATTTGTAACTAATCTATATCTACCTATATTCTGTGAAAAGAGTAAAATGAAAAATGCCTCACAGTAAATAGTCCTGTGTAACCTGCTTAACTTTATTTAACCCACTAAGAACTAATGTTATGCTAATTCATTTATCAAGAAAATTACTATACTTCAAAACACACTTTAGGAAATGCTACTGAAAATCCAATCTAATCAAAATTGTAAAAGTTAAGTTGAAATAGCTATTTTTTTGGTAAGAAATTATGTATGTATGTAGCAATAGTACCACCTTCTGGAAATCTAGAAAGCACTGTCATGTTTTTCAGAATTTAAGAACAGTCTTTTGTTAGTTATAATATCAATTTGACAAACAAGCTAAGACTGTACTTTACATGGTAGAAAATAGAAAATGACCGTCAATGTACTCTGGTGTAAAACTGATAGTGCTATTCATGGCAAACAGAAAAAGTAAATATTGCTTTGCCAAATTTTTAACTAAAATTTCTATATTTCTGAGGAAAAAATCAAGAGCCTATTGTTCCCCTGAATTATTTCACCAGATCTATCGACTGTTAGCCTTTTATATGCTTTCTTAAGTAAATGGGGCTTTTTACACCAGGTTTTTCTTATGAGACTAAAAAGAAAAACTCATTTTGATAATGGTGTTGTTCTGTACATCAAAATTTATCGAACAAACTATTTTAGAGCACTTTTTGGTACAACTCACTGTCCTTAGTGTTTTAAAATATTAGCCTATTACTTAAGCCTTTTAAGAACTCTATGAGGTATTATTTATCTTCATTTTACAATTAGAGAAACTCTGTCACATAGAAGATAAGAAACTTGCCCAAGATCACACAGTAATAAAGTTGTGAACCCAGACCAATCTGGTTTTAGGATCCTTGCACTTAATGACTTAGTTATGCTGCTTCTAACGTTCTTATACAAATGTGTAGAAAGAATAAGCAACTGGAAAATTTTAAATATAGGATATTTAATTTGTTGAGACTGTAGCAAGGGTCAGACCTCAAATGTTATGAAAAGTTGCTTAGGACTTCTTCCAAGGGTCAAAGAATATGAAGGCAAACATAATTCCAATAGGAGAAAAAAAGAACAGTAGAAAGTCATCACACTATATAGTAAAAATGAAATAATACTGAAAATCAAGGGAAAAATGAGACATAAGAACTCTTCACAGTGTAAAATAATGATCAATATAGTTCAGCTACTGTGTATAGATAAAATGCTAGAAATTTTTTGACAAATGAACACTGATCTGGGAAATCATAAGGCGTATAAAAGACAATGTAAAAACCACTAAGAATTTTGCTTGCTTTCAGATAGAGTGTAAGTCACAAAAGATTGTTGCTGCAACAAGAAAACACAGAATAAAATGAAAATTATACTTTAGGCCATCAAAGAGCAGTAGGTTCAAAAATAAATAAATTCCAAGGATAAATAGGCTCTTTTGGTGATCAAAGAGCTGTTGCTTTTATAGGACCAATTGCCTAGTCTGGGTATCTGTGTGTGGAATATTACACCTGCCACAAGAAGAGAGATTTTGCTGGGATAAGAAAAAGACCACTGAAGTTTTCAATGACAATATGATTGCTATACTAGATTGCAAACTCCAAATGTGAAAAAAGTAGAACTACTCCAAATGTGAAAATAAATTGTTGAGCCCCCAACAGGAATTCTGACAAAAGGTAGAGAACAGATCTGAAAAGCAAAAAAATGTCTTGATTTTGTTGATGACAACTGCAGCCACTAGAGAGGAAAAAGGGAGTTTCAGAAAAGAAAAAGTCAGGAAGGGAATCACTAAATTCTCTGTCTATACCTTTGGCTGAACTTTGTGTGAAAAACCAACTCAAGGCGCTCACTTAAATAACAAAGACAAACTGAATGTAGAACTGTTGCTCAAGGAACAGAGTTTGCAATTTATGTCTAACCATGTTAATTGTTTAAACAAAAGAAAGAAATATCACTCATTGGAGAAAAATAGCAGAAGCCAGAGTCTCCACAACTCAACATTCATATTTTTCAGAATACAATACAGAATTCTGCAAGATACAAAAAAAAAAAAAAAAAAAGAAAGAAAATGACATTCATTACTTCAATTAAAAAAAAAAAAAAACTTAAACTAACCCTTGCAGATTTGGAATTAGCAAACAAGGATTTTATTTTATTTTAATTTTTTTAAAGATTGTACTTATTTATTTGAGAGAGCAGGTGAGAGAGAAAGCATGAGCTGGCGGGGGGAGAGGGGGTTTGCAGAGGGAGAAGCAGACTCCCCGCTGAGCAGGGAACCCTATGCGGGGCTCAATCCCAGGACCCTGGGATCATGACCTGAGCAGAAGGCAGACGCTTAACCGACTGAGCCACCCAGGTGTCTCAGCAGACAAGGATATTAAAGCAGCTATTACAACCATTCTCAGTGATGTACAGAAATGTATCCCCTCAATGAAAAAAAAAAGTAAATCTGAGAAGAAAAATATAATTAAAAAAAAAAGAACCAAAAGGAAATTATAGAACCAATACAATAATAAATTATAAAAATTCACAAGACTGATTTAACGAAATATAGATAAAAAGAAGAGTTTGAAAATCTTAAGATCAATTGAAATTATCCAAACTGAAGAACAGAGAGAAAAATATATGGAAAGCCTCAGAGACAGGTTAAATAATAACGAATGGTGTAACACGTGTTGTTAACACAATATAGACCCAAAGAGGAAGAAAGAAAAGAATGGGGAAGAAAATATATTTGAAGAAATGACCCAAAATCTCACAAACCTGGTAAATGACATGAATTTGAATATTCAATAAACTAGTAACTCCCAAGCTGGATAATTATAAACAAGGCCTTCCAAGGCACACTGTAGTTAAACGGTTGAAAACCAAGATAAAAAGTAAACTTGAAAGCAGAAAAAAAAAGACCGATTATATACAAAAGAATCAAAATGTAATTAGTGAGTAACTTCTTATCAGAAATTACAGAGGCTAGAAGAAAACAAAAGAACATATTGAAAGGGCTAAAAGAATAAAATTGTCAACCCAGGATTTTATGTATCTTGAAAAAATAAAAGACCACTTTTATTATTTTGTAAAATGTTTCTTCTTTTAACTTCTTTGTAATATATGTGAATGGTTTCAGCAAAAACTGTAACACTGTCCTCTGAGGTTTATAACATATGGTGATATACCACATTTAACAGCTATAGTAAAGAGTGGTGAGAAGAATAATGAAACCCACACAGTTACAACATTCGTACATGTTATAGAAATTCGTACAAGGTTAACTATAAGAAAACTTTCAAAAGCTAAGGAAATATGTTGCAATCACTACAGCCACCTCTAAAAAAAAAACTAATAGAAAAACTTAAATTTCTAAATAATACTGAAATATCCAAAATAGAAAGAATAGAAAAACAATAGTGAAGAGGGGATAAAAAAATAATAAAATGGCAGATCTGAAGCCAATCATATCAATAATCACATTAAATGTAAATTAACTAAACATTCTGATTAAAATGTAAGTATTGCCAGAATGGAAAAAGAAAAAAGCAAAATTTGCTATATTCTATCTACAAGAGATACACTTAAAACATAAAGACAGATTTAGGTTGAATGGATGTATCACGAGATCCGTATTCTTTTAAATGCTGAAGGGGTTATATTAATATTAGAGAATGGATTTCACAACGATTATTATCAACAAAAAGAAGGACATTATTAATAATGATAAGAGGGTTGATTCATCAGAAAAATAAAAGTCATATATGTATGTGTACCTAAAAACGTCATCAAAACACATTAAGCAAAAGTTGACAGTAAAAAGGAAAAATAGGCAATTCTACATAGTTAAAGATTTTAATGCCTATTGGTAATTGGTAAAGCAACTATATAAAAATCAATATGGGGCACTTGGCTGGCTCAGTCAGAGTGACTCTTGATCTTGGGTTTGTGGGTTCAAGCCCCACGCTGGCTGTAGAGATTATTTAAAAATAAAATCTTTAAAAAAATCAATATAGCCAATATAGAATATCTGAACATTATCAATTACTTTGACCTAATAGATAGCTATAAAATATTCCACCTAACAACTACAGAATATAAACTCTTTTCAAGTGCATGTGGTATATTCACCAGAATAGACCATAAGCTGGGCCAGAAAGCAAGGTTAAACAAATTTAAAGATTGAAATTTTAAAGTGTTCTCTGATAAAAAGAGACATTGAATCAGTAAAATATGTAGGTAACAGATTAAACAACACTAAAACAGTAATACTAAATAATCCATGGATTGAAAATTAATCTCAAGGGATTAGAAAATATTTTAACTGCATAATAATAAATACATAATATTTCAAAATGTTTACATGAAGCTAAAGAGGGCTCAGGTGACAATCAATAGCTTTAAATGTTTATTTTTAAAAAAAGGAATGGGGCACTTGGGTGGCTCAATCAGTTAAGCACCTAACTCTTGATCTCAGCTCAGGTCTTGATCTCAGGGTTGTGAGTTCAAGCCTGTGTTGGGCTCCACACTGGGCATGGAGCCTACTTAAAATAACTTTTTTTAAAAACAATAGAATCAATGATCTAAATTTCTACTTTAAAAAACTAGAAAAAAGAAAATGGAATAAAAACTCAAAACAAATTTTAAAGCAGAAAAGATTAGAGCATAAATCAATGAAATATAGAATAAATCAGTAAAACAAAAATGTGGGGTTTTTTTAAGAATAATAATAAAATCAGTAAAACTTTAGCTAGACTGGTCAAGAAGAAAAAAGACATAAATTACCAGTATCAGGAATGAATGGTGACGTACTACAAATATTAAAAGGAAAATAGGGAGATCTATTTTCAGCATAATAGCATGAGGGGTTCTGTGGAATGGCTCCCTAGAGAAACTGGAGAAAATAATTTTTTAAAAAACAGCCATTTCGGGCGCCTGGGTGGCTCAGATGGTTGAGCGTCTGCCTTCGGCTCAGGTCATGATCCCAGGGTCCTGGGATCGAGTCCCGCATCGGGCTCTCTGCTCCTTGGGAGACTGCTTCTCCCTCTGCCTCTCTTTCTCTCTGTCTCTCATGAATAAATAAATAAAAATCTTTAAAAAACAAAAAAAAAACAAACAGCCATTTCAAGTATCTGTAAATGATTCCAAAGCATATAGAAAATGAAGAAATATTTTTTAAAAAAATCTACTAAAGCTCAGTAAGAACAGAAGTGTCTAGGATTGGAGCCAAGACTCACTCATTCCCATCCCTCCTTCAACTCAGCAAGATGGAAATTCCAATCTAGACTGGGGCAGCCAAGGAAGCAGAACCATACTACCTCTCCAAATTAGGGAAATATCGTCCCAGGAGGGAGATGTCGCATTTCCCATCCTGCCCCCGACTACCGGTTGCTGAAGCCAAGTTCTGAATGAGTGTACCCGAGACGTAGAAGCCCCCCTTTTGGAGCAGCACCCACTCAGGGATTCTGGGCCATATCTTGGCACTACTATGCTTTTTTTTTTAAAACTCTAACCCTAATCCTAACCCAAATACCGTGCTCTTGTTATTATAGTGTTAAAAGTCCTCAGTTCTAATGACATAGGAAAGCTGTAACCGTTCCTCTGCAATTTGTGAGAAGGTCTTATGCTCATGTCTTATGGAATGTTTTCTCTATGAGTCTGGAATAGGGAAGTTGGCTTTAGAATCTTATGAACTTTCAGTTATGTGGAATAGCAAAAAGTTCCAGGAAAGTTATTTTCACTGAATTAGTATTTTTTTTTTTTTAAAGATTTTATTTATTTATTTGACAGAGAGAGAGATAGCGAGAGCAGTAACACAAGCAGGGGGAATGGGAGAGGGAGAAGCAGGCTTCCCGCCGAGCAGGGAGCCCGACGCGGGGCTGATCCCAGGACCCTGGGGTCATGACCTGAGCCGCAGGCAGACGCTGAACGACTGAGTCACCCAGGTGCCCCCAAGGCAGACTCCTAACGGACTGAGCCACCCAGGTGCACCAGGGGCAAAATTTAAATGGGTGCCCAAAAAACTCAGTAATTGAGATTAAATAATATTTTTAGGCAATACTTTTAAAAATAAAAGTTTATACAAAAAAGTTTGTGATGAATAAAATACAGTTGACCCTTGAACAACATGGGTTTAGAATGTGTGGGCCCACCCATAAGGGATTTCTTTTTTTTTTTTTTTTAAGATTTTATTTATTTATTTATTTGACAGAGAGAGACAGCAAGAGAGGGAACACAAGCAGGGGGAGTGGGAGAGGGAGAAGCAGGCTTCTTGCCGAGCAGGGAGCCCGATGTGGGACTCGGTCCCAGGACCCTGGGATCATGACCTGAGCCGAAGGCAGACGCTTAACGACTGAGCCACCCAGGCGCCCTCACTGAATTAGTATTAAATAGGATATAAAGTTAATTTCTACTGTTTCAGGAAAAAAAAAACAAAAAAACAGAAGTTGTATGGCCATAACAATAAGTGCAATTCCAATGAATATTCCAGTCTTTAAGCAGTATATTTATTAAAAAAACTTCTTTTTGATAACCAGTTAAGGACCCTTGAAAAGAACCTATAAAAGCTTAGCAAATTTTCTGTTCTCCACCAGGGCAACCTTTGAACTGAAATTAGAAATCACAAAGAATGAGGGAAGTACAAACTTGTCCTTTCCAGAATTTAATATTTTTAAAAAGAAAATATAAAAGTTATCAAAAAAAAAGTCTTAAAAGGCTCATTCAGGGGCTAAATGCTAGCACTGAAACTTTTTTCTTGTAATTGATTTAAGGTAAAAAGTAAAAATTATGTAAAAAACACAGCAGTTACAGCTGTCCCAATATAAAGCCCACCTGCAAAAAGGCAGGACAAAATTGGCTGACTGAGCAAATATCCACATCATGACCTTAGTAACAAGTTTAAAGTGGTTTCAGTTCCCCAGATCTAAAAGGAGGATCATCTTGCATGCTTAGATTCTACTTCTTCAAGAATCCACTGAATGCCATTCAAAAAACCAGTTAGAGTTTCAGCCTCTGTATCCTGGACCTATGAGCAGATAAGAGAGACCACTGTAAGAAACTGAGTCCAAAATCTTATGATTAAAAGAAACATTTTTCTAGATACTAAAAAAAGAACAGGATTTTAAAAATCCCAGTAAACTTTGGGTGAGTCATTCAAGTTTTGTCTTCTAGAGAACTTAGAAAAAAAAATATGATCTTCTGTCTATAATTATTACCAATATGAGGCTTATTACTTATCTTGGAACTTAGTTTTGGGAATGGGAAGAACTACCATTTCTATGACTTGCTTGTATGTATTAGAAAAAAATTCCTCTAAAGGATCCACTTTGAAAACTAAAACATTTTTCAATGTAATTCAGCTAGCCAGCTGATAAACGTGATATCCAGTTGCAAAAATGTATTTTTTAAGACTGCCACTCTTCCTAATGGCAAGCTAAAACTCCCACCACTCAGGAAGGTACACCTTTATCAGTAGCTTTCCAACTGTGTTCCACAGAGTCTTCAGAACTCCATGGAAGGTATATGGGGAGGAAGGAAGAAAATCCTCTAACTTATTAAGCATAAGCATTTCCAATTTTTATTTTCCTTTATTTTACTTAGGGGCTTTCATGTAAGGTTCCATTTGAAGAAAGGATTCCATGATTAAAATAAAATTTGGAAAGCAAGAAACAATAAGATGAAATTTGTATTTCTGATGACCCTTAAAACATAATATTTTAATGCTGAAAAAAACCATGATACTGGCATTTAAAAAAAAAAAAAAAAATCCCCAATTGCTATCTCACTGTATCTATGATAGGAAAGTAGTGAGCAAATGATCAGGTGAAACTTACTGATACCAATCAAGTATCTCCCACTGATTAAGCTATTAAAACTATTTTTTGAATGCTATTTCACTAAAGAGAATGAGTAGGAAAGAATAAAATCAAATAGAGAACAGTGAAAAATAAGATTTTTCTCACCAGAGAAGATAGGACCTTACCATCCATGGGTGGTTTAGATGATTTAGACGCAGCTCATGAGCCAAATAAAAACAGGGCATTCTTTTTACATTTGCTTGAGAAATACAAGATAAAACCAGCATAGGTCTTCCTGAAGATCCAAAAGCTGGATCTGTCATTGCCATAATATGAGAAAATTCATCTTGCCATTCATGTCCTAGAGAATGTAGTCAAAACCCTTAATTTGCATTACTTATAAAGATTTTAAAAATAATAAAACAAACTTAAAAACAAAACAAGGAAATAAAAAAATTACCAGGATCCAAACATAACAAACTGCCTCTACTGCTGTTCATTTACAGCTGTTCATTTACTGATCTGTCACAAAATTACATTAGGTAACCTTCAAGGATAGGAATTTCAGTGAAATTAGAGGAAAAAAAGTCACAGTACCATTCAGATGTCTCCATATTTTAAAGGAAAAAATACTTTGATATAGATATTTTCCTCTCATAAATTTTGTAGCTATCACTACCCTTTCTTTCAAAGACCTTAGTTTAAACAATTTAAACACAGACTTGGGTCTAGCACTTTTATTTAAACTAACAATCTCTGCCTTTCATTGGACTGTGTAAATCACTGACATTGTGAGGTAGTCAAGATTCTAAAAGGACCCCCAATGACTCACACCCTTGTATAATCTCTTCCCCTCTGAGAGTGGGAGGAATCTAGAATCAGTGATACCATTTTCATGAGTAGGCTACATTATAAGACACAGCTGACTTCAAGAATGAGCGATTATCCTCAGTGAGGCTGACCTAATCAGGTAGGCCCTTAAAGAGATGAGGTTCTCCTGGTGAGAAAGATTCTCCATTGCTGGATTTGAAGAGAAGAGGGAATCACAAGGCAAGAAATGAAGATACCTTCTAAAAGATGACATCAGCTCCCAGCTGACAGTTGGCAAGAAAACAAAACCTGAACTCAGCCAGTAACTTCAGTGTGTTAGAAAGCAGATTCTTCCCAGGAGCCACCAGAAAGTGCCACAACCCATCTAACCTGATGTCATGCTGTGCTGACTTCTGACACAGAGAACTATGAGCTAATTAACAGGTGTTTTAAGCCACTAGGTTGAAGGAAATTTGTTCTATATTGACAGAAAATGAATAAATGTTTAATGTCATTATCAACAGGGTGCATTTAAATCTAATCATATACCTCTTAGATTTTGACTTGTCCCATCTGTTCTTTGTTCCTTTATCCCCCTTCTTTGGACTGAGATTTGTAATGGTTCCGTTTTATCTTCACTACTGGCTTGTTTAATTGTACCTCTCTCACACTTTTTTAGTGGTTACTCAAGGATTTACAATGTACATTTTCAACTTATAACAGTCTACCTCTAGATAGTATTACACAACTTCACATATAGGAGAACCTTATAACAATGTAGTTCCATTTGTCTGTATTGGTATCATATATCTTACTTAAAAGAATCATATACTCACAATACATTCTTACCATTTTTCCTTTACATATTATAAAAAAATTTAAATTAGGAAAAAAATCTTATATATACTACATTGCTTCCATCCCAGGGCTCTTAATTTTTTAATGAAGATCCATTTTTCTATCTGGTATCATATTCTTCTGCCTGAAGAGCTTTCTTTAATATTTCTTGTAATGCAAATCTGCTGATAATGAACTTTCTCAGGTTTTGTCCAAAAGTCTTTATTTTGCCTTCATTTTGAAAGGTATCTTTGGATACAAGATTTTCCCCACTTTGCAACACTGTAAAGATTTCCCTTCATTGCCTTCAGCAATTCTTTCAGGAATTCTGTCCTTATCTTTGGCCCTCTATATGTATTCTTCCTTCTGCTTTGCAGTCTTCAAGATAATCTCTTTATCTTTGGTTTTCATCAGTTCGGCTATAATGTACCTATATTTATTTTTATGTATTATTATTTTTTAAAATTTATTTGGAGTTCTCTGAGCATCTTGAATATGTGGTGTGTTGTCTTTCAGTAATTTTGAAATAATTTTGGTCATTATCTGTTCAAAAATTTTTTTCCTTGTTCTCTTTCTTCATGTTTTGGGACTCCAGTTACACACGAGTTAGACCAGGTATTGGCATACTACGGTCTATGGATCTATTTTTATAAATAATTTTTTAAAAACATCCATGCCCATTCATTTATAAATTGTCTATGGCTACTTTTGCACTCTAACATCAGACTTGAGTAACTGTGAGAGATCATATAGCTTATACACCTAAAATATTTACTATGTGGCCCCTTAAGAAGAAGTCCACTGACCCCTGAGTTGTTTCCCTTGATGGGTTCCCCCAGTTCTTGGATGCTCTGTTCCTCACTCCTCCTCTTTTTTCTGTGTTTTACTCTGGATAATTTCAATTTATCTTCAGGTTCACCAAAGGTTTCTTTTGCTGATAAATCCACTAAGGAAAGTGTTCACCTCCTATATTTTCATATTTAGCATTCCCATACTTTTTCACAGCTTTCTTCTCTCTGTTGAAAATCCCTATCTGTTCACACATATTTTGCATCTTTTCCACTAGATCCTTTAACATATTAATCATAGTTATTTTAATGTCCCTTTCTGAGAGTGCCAACATCTGAGTCATCTCTGGGTATGGTTCCACTGATTGCTTTATCTCCTGAAATGGGTCATTTCATTTTGACTTTTTTGTGTCTTATAACTTTTAATTTAATGTTAAATGTTTTATGTAAAAGAACAATAGAGAATGAGGTAAGAGAATCTATTCCCAGAAATGGGCATGCTTCTTCCATTAGACCACTAATGCAGTGGGTTGATTCCAACTAGTCAGTAGTAGTTGACCTGGACTTAGTTTTTGTTGCTCTGGTTAACTTCAGTGCACCACAAACTTTCTTTCAGCAATGTTGCTACCTTGTTCTGAGTGAGATGAATATAAGCCCTAACTTATTCACAAAAGATTTGGGAAAAAAATTACAATACTGGTTTGTGGCCCAATAATATTCTGATTTTATGCCTAAATAGCATTGTGAAGGGCAATTATTCAGAATATGTAGAAAGTGTTCTTAACTAATCTACTTAATTAACACTCCACCACACACATCTCTCTACTATCTGGGTAATTAAAACTAAGGTAAAATTTTCCAGTTATCTGCATAAATTATTTGAATAGAGCTAGAAGCAGACAAAACATCAATAATAAGTGCAGAAGCATACAACAAAGAAATACTATGTAGTTATAGTATCAAACTTTGATATGCATCAGAATTCTGTAGGTGCTTACTAAAAAAAAAAACAGATGCCCAAGAAACAACCCAAATCTATGAATTATAAGCCATCAGAATAGGAATCAGGCAGCTGTTTTTAATAAGCTCCCCAGGTGATCCTAATGCACATCAAGGTTTGAGAACTCACTATTAACAGTAATGGTCATAGAATCACATTTATTAAATTAACCATCATGTTCTTAAGAAGCCACAGTAAAGCCTAAAATGTATTTTATTTGCTGTGCAAAAAACTTCTCTTAAAAAGAAAATAATGCTTACTTTTATGAGCTTCAGCATTTGCAACATAGATGAATCCATCAACAACTTCACACACCTTCTGAATTTGTGGAATTACACTATACCGGCTTCCTTGTTGATCATCTCCTTCATTCTGTACACTGAACATCTTGTTAACTGCACTTGTATGCTCTTCTCTTGCTCTATCTCTTTCCTTTCTACAAGAAAAATGTAAATATAAAACATAAATACTAAGCAGACTCCACCCCCCCCAAAGTATCCAAGTCCTGATGCCCCAGGTAGGCCACCAAGTAGGCAGCCTTACCTGGTAGTTGAATATAATATCAGGATGTTGAATTTATGTTGGTTGCTCAACTGAAAACTGACTCCAGATCCAATACCTAGAGAAGAAAATTACAGTTATCAAAACAAGTCATTAATAAATATAGAAAACGATCACATTGAAAAAAATTATCCAGTGCAAGAAAAAAAGAGCAACCAAAAAGTCCATGACAAATTATATATAGCTTTGGAATAAAATGAAATGTTTATGTTGAAGAAAAGGTGCTGTATGCAATTTCCATTTACATGGTAATAAAAATATGGACAAAGAATGAACTAATAGGCTTATAGCATTCCTTTCTGTATCATCATGTTAGCAGCTGCATCATTAACAGCAACTAATACTTATCAAGACTAAGACTCATTTTCCAACTTTTTTGTTTCTCATTAGTCATATACTCCATGTATACATTCAGTGAAATGGCTTTTTCTCCCTCTGAAAATGTTTTTAAATTGATGGGGAGTCACCAATGGCACTGTAGAAAATTGAAGAAATATTTAGATACTGAAATTTGAAAATTAAACAGGTTATAATCTTGAATTTGCCACATAGCCATTTTTTGTGAGCCTCAGCTTTGACATCAAAATACAGAAATAATACTGGGTGCCTGGTGGCTCAGTCAGTTAAGCGTCCAATTCTTGATCAGCTCGGATCATGATCTCAGGGTCGTGAGAATGAGCCCCCCATTGGGCTCCACACTTGGTGGGGAGTCTGCTGGAGATTATCTCCCTCTCCCTCCTCCGATGCCCCTCCCTCTACATGCTCTCTCTTGCTTTCAAATAAATAAATCTTTAAAAATATATAGAGAAATAATACATACTTCTTAGAGATGTTGTAAGCATTAAATGAGATTACATATGTAAAATTCCTAGTAGAGTGGTAAATAACAGGTACTAAATACTAGCTTCTTACTACTTTTATCTGAATTATTCAATATTGTTACTTGTCCTTCTTTCTTAACCTCTTCCCTTCTTTGGCTGTGTTAACACTCAGGCTGATTCTCCTCTTGCCTCATGAAAAGATCCTTCTTTCTCTCATGGCTACACTTCTTTTTGCTATATATATATGCCCTTTTAGATCTGTCCACTTCTCTCCATCCTCAATCCCTCCTTTTAGTCTAAATTATCATACCCTCATCTGGACTTTTGCAATCACATCTAACCAGTCTCCTACATCCATTTTTGACCCCCACTGTCCATTCTTCTGACAGCAACTGGAGAGATGGCTTAAAAATGCCTATTGCATTATTTCTCTTTCCTTCAAAACCATTGCTCTTCAAAAACAACTTAATATAATCTTACCTCTACTTTAGGACAACTCCACTTTTCGTATCTTTAATTCCTGTATCATAACCAATCCAGTTGTTTAAATTAACCTGTCTTGCCATCTTATGTCACCATTCCAGGTAACACATATACAGAAATCTTGGTGGCTGGGACTGCAAGCATGACCCTAGTTCCCTGGCCACCAGATTTGGTGCACAAACTCCCCAAAGAGATCATAGAAACAAATTCTACTGTTATTTCTGATCTTTGTTTTCATCGGTTTAATTTCCAGAGATTACCTTCTCAACACATCTAACCTCAACCCAGTACGATCTCTATACTATTCTGTACCACATTGCCAACAACCCATCCCCCCATTCTTCCCTGATCTTGCAGGGTTTGATGCATAATTAGATTGGCATTTGTAAACAATCATTTCTGCTGCTGTCTGGAGAATAAAACTGACATTTCATGATCAGCAAATTTCCCCATATCCCCAACCTCTTCTTTAGGTGTTCCACCTCATGGCCTTACCTGAACTGGCCTACCCTTAGGGGCTACTTCTCTTCCTCTACACCCTCAAGTAACAAAACTGCTTCTTCTCTCACATCTCAGGGTAAAGACGTGGGGTCAATGTTCTCTTTACTCCTCACTGCCATGTCCTGTTACTCACCAACCCTCTTCAAAACTCCATCTCTTTGAGATACACCATTCAGATGTAGTACCATCTCCCCTTCCTCAACCTCATCATTTATGAATCTCCTTTTGATAACCCCTTCCTCCAAACATTCACTGAAGATTTCAGCACCTCATGTGGAAGGTTCACAATATTCCTCTCCATCCTCAGAAACTTCCAAGTCCATGTGGACACCATATGATTCCCAAATCTTGATTTCTAACCCAGATCTTGCTCTTGAGTCATTTGTTCATTTATTCATCAAATCTATATTGAGTGCCTACTCCATGCCTGACATCAAACACAGCTATGAACAAAGCTGGTAAGACTCCTGCCCTAATGGAGCTTCCATTCAAGTGGATTGCTTACAGCAGGCATCTCTGCTTATATCTCCCAGAGTTATCAAAGTCAGCATATTCTAAAGAGTAGCTGTCCTCCTCCCTATAAAGATCCCTCAAAAAACTTTCTCTTCCTCCTCCTTATCCTAGCGAATGGCACTATCATCCAATATGAAAACCACATCAGAAATAATGCTCATACATATTCAGTCAACACTATCCTTCATGTTTTCACAATATTACAGTGGTTTCTTAACGGGTCTCCATATTTTATAGCCTCTTCTAATCAATTTTCCACTCAGGAGCCAGATCTTTCTCAAATGCAATCTTGATCATCTCATTCCTCTGTTTAATATCTTTCAACAGCTCCCAAATGCTTAAGCATGGCATACACGTGTCTTCTCACCTAGCCCCACTCTAGACACATAGAACTACTTCAAATGTGTCATATGTATCCAGAGCTTTGTGCTTTTAGAAATGTAGTTCTCACTGCTCACAATACTTCTGTCCCTTTTTTTAATGGTCTATTTTAACTCATCCTAATGACTCAAATAAGGCATCATGTTCAACGAAGAGCCTTCTTTGATCCTTATCTTTCTATCCGGGAGCTAATTACTCCATATTCTAATCACCTATATATTTATCTTTGTCCTTACCAAGACCAAGTATCTTCAGGGCAGACAAAAATTTTTGATGTTTGTTTTAAATAGCTACACCTCTAGCATCTAATAGGTGCTCTCAATAAATGAATAAGCAAAGCATAAGCTAGATTATATTGTTACTTATTATATCTTCTGCTTGCCAACTAACTACATGATTATTGTTTTCATAGAAAGAGGAGGAAGGTGTTAATTTAGCTCTTTTTAAAAATTCCAAAATATATCAAAGTACTTTGCACATAGTAGATGCTGAATGGTTTTTGCTGTTAACATTCTTTTAAAATATGGTAAGTACTGTACAAACATCTTGATAATGTATAATTTACTTGCACATAATCTTATATTCTGGATTACACAAATTTGAGGAAATAAGAGGAAGCTCACTTCTCATAAAAAGTAAATCAACTCTTTCAGTCCATTGGGACCTGGGGAGGAGGGGCACCTATTCACAAAATTACTCTATTTCATTACATCAAAGAGTTAATTAAAAATTAATTTCTTAAGATTTAACATTAGTGTCAAGCTCAAAGTGTTTTAACTATTATATACTACACACTAACATGAAAATTACCATCAATCTGCCTCTGAGGCAAACCAGCTGTTGGGCAAAGTTCCTCAGAAGACATCAAGCTCAACACCAAAGATGTATTCAGTTCTTCCAAACCTGGTCCAAACATAGCAAATCGTGGTTCATTCTGAATGATCAATGAGTGTAAAAATGATGTGACAGCTCCATACATAGGACGGCTAGATTTCAAGGATCTTCTTGTATATGGACAGCACATTTTATAGCTGTATAAAATTGTCACAATTAGAAAATTAACACAGAAAAAAACGTAGCCAGTTATTCATTCAACAATATATAGTTTATTGAGAACCTGCTAGACACAAGAGATACAATAATAGTTCCAATCCTCATGGAGGGAAGTGGAGAACAGACACATTATAATATGTACGCTGGATGCCATGACATGAAAAACCAAAGGCACTCTGGGAGTAGAAGTGGTCCAAATGTTAAGGAAGTCCTCCCCAGGAAGTAGTTACATACTTTCTAATCTTTCATTTAGATTTTCTCATGGAACACTTGGTCTAACACTTGGTTCAGTCATAAAAACTCACTACATAGCACAGTGATTCTCAGTCTGGGGAGATTTTTGCCTCCCCATCCCAAGGGAGCATTTATTTGGCAATGTCTGCAGACATTTTTGTCATTATGACTGGGGGTCAGTGCGTGGTGTGCTACTGGCATCTAGTGGACAGAGGTTAAGAATGCTGCTAAACATCCTACAGTGCGCAGGACAGTTGGGTCTAAACACTTGGTCTAAAATGTTAATAGTGTCAAGATTGCACTAACCTATATGGATAGTTAGCATAAATGTCTCTAGAGATAAAAAAAAAAAAAAAAAAAAGGATAGAAATTAGTAAGGCCACCAATATAACCAAATTTCTTAAGTACTCCTATTAACAGCCTCCAGTGTAACAGTTTAATAAGTGTTAAACATACAGGGAGGCTCTAATGTTCCTTATAGATAACCTAGCAAACTAAGAATCATGTGGAAAAAAAAAACACAGTTTCTTTCAATAGCTATAAATTTCTAAATTACCAATTCTACACGTTATCAAAAGTTAAAACACAGTACCCAAATCAAAATAAAACCTAAAGCCCTTTGACTAAATCAAGGTGGTTAAGACAATTACTAACCTAACAAGACAATGATCTTTATTTACGAAACTTATAATTCAAGAAGAAAAAAAAAATCAACTTTGAGGCTAGGTAGATCTGGCCACTTTGTTTATATGAGCCACTTATAGTATTAACTTAAGTTTTTTCATCTGCATTATTTGAGCAGTAACAATTAACCCAGGGTTGAAGGATCCGAAATTAATTTATATGATTTAAGAAACAAAACAATGAACAAAGAAAAAAAAGACAAAAAAAAAAACTGGTGGTTGGCAGAGGGGAGGTTAGTAGGGGAGTGGGTGAAATAAAAGGGGATTACACTTATCGTGATTAGCATTGAGAAATGCATAGAATTGTTCAATCATTATACTGTATATCTGAAACTAATAGAACACTGTATGTTAATTATACTTCAATAAAAAAATACTTTACATGATCACAAATGGTAGTTACTATGATTACTTCTATTCCTGGGGAAAAGTTGGTTCCACAGCATGATATACTTGATGCTATGGTTGTTTGTGGGACAATGTAGAAGTAACAACCAGCAAGTGAGAGTACAACAGCACTTACTGAAATTATATATAACATATCACACACATTTTAATCAAGCAGTCTCACAAGACTTGACATTTAGATTAGAATAAGGAAAGATCTGAATAACTCAAATAAAATATGAAAAAAAATCCTGTATCTAGATACTAAATCTAACAGAGTAAAACAATTCTTACCTAAAATGTAAATATTTTTTAAATTTTATTTACAATGCCTTAAATTTGGGGCCCTCAATAAAGTAGGTTATATCCAGATCCAATGGCATTATATATTTTTAAGGTGGCATGACAGGGTTCCAATCTGAACAGTCCCTTATAAGCTATATGACTTTAGGCAAATCCATAACCATTCTGAACCTCAATTCCACATCTAGAACACAAGAATAATACTTTCTTATTCAGTGATGGCTAAATAAGTAAACATACATAAAGCATCCCTCATAGAATCCAATACACTACAGTTGCTCAACAACATTAATTCTCTCAGCTACATGATATTTAAAAGTGTCAATGCTTTTGGGTGGTAACAAAATCTCATTTCCCAGAACCTTGAAAATGGTTTTCCTCCCTGCTAAAGAACTGGTCTCTGATCACTGATCATTCCTTTTTGGGATATGGAAAAGTATTCGCTATTTAACAAAATGACAAGTGTTCTAAAGATGATGAAAGTTTTAAGAAATGTTTTACTTCTTGGCATATGAACTATCTACAATTATTCACATACTCTAGAGTCAGGCACCACAAGTAAATAACAAAATGTGAAAACTGAAAGGGTCGTATGAAGGAATTTAAGTTAATCCCCAGCTTTTACAAACACAACCAAATTCCAAGAAATGAATTAGTGGCGGAGCCAAGACTAATTCAAACTATTGACTTGTAATACAGTCAAATTTAGTATCTTCTTTTTAATTCATAAAACTAGATACTTACACTGCCATGTAGTCAAAAAATGCACCATCAGTAACCTCAGATATAGGTTTTTTTAAGATTTCTAGATCTGGAAGAGACTTCCAGTCAACAGAAGACCAAGAAGGAAGATCCCGCAGCAGAAAATATCTCCACAAAATTGGATCTCGTACAGTTTCATTCCAATAATGGCTTGTACTTCCCAACTGACACAGATCATGAGGTGAAAGAAATGACAAAATATATAGCTGTACGTCAATCTGAAATAGAAACAACAAATAGGTAAAAGGGATGAAAAACTTATCTTAAAAATTGTTTTCTGATAATAAATTACAAACGAATATTTTATTATACTAGGAATCCAAAGGTCAACTGGACAGTCCATCTTTTTAATAATTGTACCATGAGGAATTACAAAATTAATAAAGAATTATTATAGATAACCAAAGGTCAATGTAACAGTATTTTTAATAATTGAATCTATAATTCTTAAGTTATTTTCCCGCCATCAGAAGAGAAACATATCTGAACATTTAATTTGTTGACACACTGAAACAGTCATGAAAGACCAGTCATTGTTCTGGTATTTTTCAAGCCAAACAACCAGGTCCTTTAATTTCTCCTCATGTATTTTGCCACAACATATATCTTAACAAATCACTTAAGGAAACAATCTAGTCTTCAAAATAAAACCTTTATCAAATCATTTCTGATTTTGTCATTAGTTCTAATCAAAGAGTAAATCTGCCATCTGAGTTTCTCCATAAAATCTGTATTTCAAAGAACTTCTCCAAAAGGAAGAACCTTGGAAGAACATTCTAAGCCTGCAGTTTTTAATTTCTGATGGACGTCAGAGGGAGGTGTCAACAGTCCAGCGGCGATACAGAATCTGTATAATTTCTAAGAATTTCTCCTCTCTCCCATTTTCCCATCTGCCTGAAAAGTTTAACAATAAATGATGTGCACAATTCTTGTGGCCTGTTGTAACTTGAGGCACTTCTTAGTCATTGTCAGTTAAGTGTGAGTTTTGTGACTTGAAATACGCACTCAGAGAATAGCCATGATTTCCTCGCAGTGTCCTGGTACATCGAACCTGAGATGAAAGGCGCTGAGCACACGGTCGCTGAAGGCTTTCCCGGCCTAACCAGAAAGTCTGCAACGGTCTCATTTCCTTAACCTGACGTTCGGGGTGTTCTAGGGCCAAAACTTGTTTTGGGGCGGGTAGAAGACCTGAGGGTGACCTGGCCGGTTACCAGGGCGCCCCTGACGGTGCGTCTCGCTGCGACTTTCGGTCCGTCTGCGAGCACTAAAGGTCAACGCCTCGGCGTTTCTGGTCAGCTGTGTTCCCAGGTGACGACACTGCCCGGAATGGCCGCAGGACTGCGGCAGACACAGACTGGGCGCGCTGAGACCCTCAGAGGCCGCCGGTGCGGGGTGCCCCTCCCAGCGCGGCCCCTCGGTCCTCCGCAGCCGGTGGCCGCCACTCACCGGCAGCCGCGTCAGGGTACTAGCCTCCTCCTCCGCCTCCTCTTGAGAGGCCCTCGGCGCTGCCCTCTCTTTGCCCACCGACTGCCAGAAGTTCCTCCAGCCGCTGAGGATGGCGGCCTCTAGCCGGCTCCAGTCGCTGTGGTGCGCCTGAGGGGAGCTGCCTCGGCTGAGGGGCTCGCTTCCCGCCATGGCCGCCGGCGCCTCACGTGACGCGCCGCAGCGTCACGCGCGCTCCCCGCTCTGCGCCTCCCGCCCCGCGCCTCTCTCCTTCCACGTCTCCCCGCGCACAGCCTCGGGACCGGGAAGGGAGCGGAGAGGTGGCCCAATCACGTGTGTTGTCTGCAACCGAGCTTGAAGCTCCCGCCAAGAAACTGCCCCGTTCACTTCAGGCCTCGACCCCGCGAACCTCACCCGCTCACGTGAAATCTCTCGCCCCTTTATAAAATTTCGTTACGTCTCCAAAGTCGTTCTGTCTGGGACCCATTTCCACTTCGTCTGGGCCCGGGTGGCCCCTACTTATTCGGTAGCTGGCCCTCTTCCGCTACCTTAGGCTTAATAGCCAGTTGCTTCCTTTCTCAGCACCGCTGTGCTGGGTGTGCAGTTTTTTGATTGTTTTTAGTCTCCGATTTACTGTTTGTTTTCTTGGGAATTAGCAAAAATGGACCAGGGAGGTGGCCAGGGGCCCAATCACGAAGGACCTCATGCCAAGGTCAGGAGTCTATATTCTCTCTATAATTTTAGGTACATTTAAAAATTCCCGAACGCAGGCATCCCATAAAAGGGCAGCAAAATAGGGCTAGAATAAGAGGAGAAACCAGATATGGTACTGCTGAAATCCTGCTAGTTTATTAATCTGTCGGAACAGTTATCCATTTTACTCACTTTGTCCAGCCTTATTTTGAAAGGCTTTAAGAAACTATGCTATAGCCCACATTAAAAGATATTTAAAAACAAAAAATTGAGTAATGTAAAAGATCAAATTGGCTTTATTAAGCAATTCATAAATCTGGAAGCATCCGTCTCGCAAATGAAAAGGAGCTCCATTGAGCTGCAGGACAAGAAAGATTTTTAAAGGTAGAGGGTCACCTGGGTAGCGCAATGGGTTAAGGTTCCTATTCCTGCCTTGGGCGGAGGTTGTGATCACAGGGTCCTGAACTCAGGATCAGTGTGAGAGTAGAGTCCGCTTGGGTTTCTTTCTCCTTCTCCCCCTGCCGCACACCCTCCCCCAAATAAATAAATCTTTTTTAAAAATTGAAACTAAAGGCAGAAAATGGGGGCACTTGGCTGATTCAGTTGGTGGAGCATGAGACTTTTGATCTCAGGGTTTTAAGTTCAGCCCCACATTGGGTGTAGATATTTCTTTTAAAAAATTAAATCTTTAAAGGCAGAAAGGGATGGGGAAAAAGGAAATTACTGGCAAAAAGTACACTATTGTAAACAAAGTCATCCTCCTAAGGGGAATGGGAGAGGTCTATCAGTAAATTTCCTTGTGCCTAACCAGGAATTCCATGTTGAAGGGTACTTTCTTGGGGTGCCTGGGTGGGTAGGTTGACTAAGCCTGGGACTTGATTTCAGCTCAGGTCTTGATCTCAAGGTCTTGGGGTTGGGCTCCATGCTGGGCATGGAGCCTACTTTAAAAAAAAAAAAAAAGTTACTTTCCTGAGAGGGCTGAAACTGCAGTTAGGTTAGGTATGAAGTCTTAGGTTTGTTGAAGTGAGGCCCTTAAAATAAGTGATTCCATTTGGGGCCTGTAGTTTTCTTTTCAACAAAGGTAACCTATTATTTTGAACTGGGTATAGTCTCTACTGGTAAGACGGACACAAATACTTATTTAGTACTATGTGTCATTCATTTTCAAATAGATTACCTCAATATAATCCAAAGAATACTCTGCTCAAAAACTAGAGCTTTGTTCCTTAAAGGAATATTTCATTCTAAGATTATAAAATTTTAAGTCTCTAGGATTATTCAATAAAGAGCAAGACAGCATTATTGGTTATACCATGCAACAAGAAAAATACATTCAAAATAATCCAGTGGCTTTAAAATTCCATTCTTGAGAATGGACATAATAGATCTCTACATAATCTGGTTTAAACTCATTGTCAACCAGTAGTTGCTTACAATATCCAGAACCTGCAATTATCCTTTCTTTTTGTGAAGATATTAAGTATGGAAATTCTAAATTTCACACTCAACCTCTGTCCATAGTTTTATTATCTCATTTAGTCCCTCTTTAGTTTAGTTGACTCTCTTAGTCAAAACAGTCTCTCACAGATAACCCAAATCACCTGTTGAAAAATTAATCCCCCATTTTTAGTCTTCAAGACTAAAGGATCAGCAACTTCATAAAGCTTCATAAAGCTATTACTGTCTATAAGGATCATGATAGGCTACAGGGAACATATATGTAAGTTGTGTGTATGCATATAAATACATAATTATATTTAACATAATATACATACACATCTCACACACACTGTCCCTTCATATATATTAAGCAGAGTGCTTAATGCTTAATAGTGAACACAGTACTTACTGGCTTGAATCTATACTTCATAAGTATCTGGGGATCTAAATGTCAAATAACAGAAATCCAATAAAGCCTGACACTGAGGTTCCATGAGATCTGAATTTAAAGTTTCGTTATTTTTCTTGCATGCTGTTGCTAATGGCCAGTAACTAATCCAACTGAAGCTTACTTCTGTGAGGCTGTTCAGACAAGAAAAAGAATCACGAATTAACCATATGGCATTTCTTCTCCCTCTCTAGGAGCAAGAAAGAAATAGCACAAGAAAAAAATGTGTTTCAATTCAAGTATAAAGTACTGAAATGGTTCTCAGCTTTTACAAAGAAGTGTGAACATTTATAAATGTATGAGTTATAATTTTTTTATTATGAAAATTTTTAACATGTATAGGAGAGTTAATAATGTAATAGAATCCCAGGTATCCACTAGTTCATTCAAGTTACCAATTTCTCAGTCTTGTTCCATCACCATCTCTACCTAATACACACATCCACATTGTCACTCAATTATTCTGGCTGATGAGTAATATTTTTCAGCATGATGAACTGATATAAAGAACTAGACTTAAGGAAAATAATAACTCTTTTGAGCTCTTAGGATGTGCTAAGCATCCCAAGAATTAATTCAATTGAATTAAGCAGTTTGAACATTAATTCATTTAATCGTCAATAACCTGTGAGGTAGGTACTACTATTATTCCTTTGTTAAATAATAGGATATTAAGGTACAGAAAGGTTAAATAATTTATGTGGAGTCACACAGCTAGGAAAATGACAGGGTTAGTATTCAACCTCAGATCTCTGGTTCCAGAGCCCATATTCCTAACCACTATACTACCCTGTCTGAAAGTTATTAGAACCATAAGAAATAATATTCAGATGTCAGTAGTAAACTGAGACAATTAAGGTTTTCATTCTGATACAACACTCAGATATAAAAGAAAATGAACAAGATACAAATATGGGATTATAGTTTTATTAAAAAAAAAAAATTTTATATGCTCCAAAACATTTTACTTGGAAATCTTCACTAGAAGTAGGAAAAGGAAAAACAGTAAAGAACACCAGGATGAATACATAACGCATACTTTAATTGTGGATACATTAAATGTATTTTAATATAATACTTCCAATAACATATTATCTCATACTGTGTTAAAAATAATACAAGAAGTGACACTAGAGAACTACAGAATCCTGGATTCTGTTGCAGATAAGGTATTCTTATTAGAATCAGAAATGGAGCCCTGGAAGATGGCAAGAGAAAAGTGACAAGCAATCCAAAACTAGGATGTCATCCAGTTGTGGGTTTTTAAAAATGCCATTAAAGTAAATCTGAGAATACCATCAGACACAGTTCTCACATTAAGGAACATCATAGAATCCACAGTGGGAGTGTAAAAGTTGGAATGTAATTTTATTGCAGGGTTTTAGCCATAACTCTCACCTCACTCTACTGTATGCAAAGGAATGAGGGAAAGTCTTGTCATGATTTACACCTTAATCAACATCACACAATTCACAGTAGCCAGAAACCCTATAAATGCCACAAAGCAGATAGGCCTTTAAGTTTCAAAGCCTACTTAACATTAAAAAAAAAAGAAAAAATCGCATTGGGAAAGAACCACACAAATGTAAGAATTATGAAAAAATCCTTTAACAGAGTTTAAGTTTTCGTAACCACTGAAGAACTCAATGTAGAGAAACCCCCAGTGTAATAAACACAGCAAGGCCTTTAGGTTATCACTCACTCATGAGTAAAGCCCACACTGCAGAAAAGACCTGAAATGTAATCAAAGTAAAAAGGTCTTAAGTAATGACTCATTCCTTAATTCTGTATCAGAACTTCCATAAGAAAGAAACTTCATGAATGTACTGAATGTGCAAGGCATTTAACCAAATGGATAAAATTTGAAAACACTAATGCCTGCCCAACCGCCATAAATAAAATAGCACTACTTTCCAGATTATAACAAGCACTTTACCCTGCTTTATTCTTTATAGTGCTAACCATTTAATACACTATAAATTTATTTTTTTTAAATGTGGTAACTTCCTTCACTAGAATATAAACTCCAAAAAATGGTGTTTTACAAAGCTTTATCATCGCTTCTCGGCCTTTTGGCTAAGATCAAGTGTACAAAGCTACATCATCAATGCCTAAGATGAAGCCTGGCATGTAGTAGGCACATAATAATTGTTAATGAGGGAATTATACTGCTTTCCTTATGTAGAGTATTTGTTATCTTGAAGACACTTCATTCTAAATGAAACAGAATTTACATAGGCTTTAACACATACATAAAAAAAATCTGTTGTTCCATGTTTTGTAATACACCAGAGTAAAGATCATTATAACTGTTATGGTCTACAAATTACTCTCCAATTGTGTGGGGGATGGAAAAGTACAAAAAGCACCCAGTAGCACCCTCAGAACTATACCAAACAGTGAGGGACCCAAGTAGTTCACAAGGGTCATGAAGGCAAAACGGAAGTTCCCATTTCTGAAGAGAAAGTTATGGTTTTCTCAGGTTCCAAATCTATATAATACTTAACTTCTCTGAGGAGTAATTCCTTATTTGCCTTGTCTACCACTGGTATAGAGGGCATGGCAGTTTGGAATCCAATAGCAGCAACCCTTTTGTGCAGAGTTCTGCACTTAAGAACCATGTCTCTTATTAAAATTTAAAAAAAAAATTACTAAGGGCTTATTATTTATTAAGCACAATGTATAAAGATAAATTTTTTTTTAAATATGGAGTTCACCAACTCATAAAGAACCATAAAGCAGTGTTACCTGTTTGATAACATGAGAGGGAAGATTAAGGGAGCAGAAGCAAAGGAACATCTAACTTTGAGTGGAAAGGGCTGGAAAAAGCCTTAGGGATACAGTGTCACTGGAGCTGAGTCCCAAAGAATAAGTAGGTATTCACTTGGCCACAAAGAAGGGCAGAAGTAATGAGATCTTCAAAGACTACTGAGGGGAAAAAACACATAGCATGTCAGGAAAGGAACCAAAGTACTAACTGATCATGATGCTCCAAAAGGGGTGGGGGAGGGCAGTCTGTGGTTCTAAAACCATACTAAAAATGATTTAAATCTTTATACTTAGAAAGCACAAAAGGTATGTTTATAGTAAAACTTGTTAAAAAGCTATGTTAAATAAAAATCTTAGTTGTGTAAGGTTAAGCAAGGAGACAGGGGGAGAGATAGGGAGAGATTTTCCTTATACCAAGAGGCTCTATCAGAATGTTTATCAAAAAGGAGCCTGGGTTTGTAATGTTTGAGGAACACTAGACTAGAACATGATTACATAGGATGCATTGCAGAGGTAAAACAGGGAAGGTAGACAGAAACTAGATTATGGCACTCTTTGTTGCCCTGCACTGTGAAAGATCAAAACAACCAAAACATGAACCAAAAAAAGATTTTAGATGAAAGATAAGGGTTAGTTATTTGGACATACTGAATTTAAAAGTACTAAAATTATCTAAGTGAAGACATTTAATAGGCAGTTAGAAAGAAGGCTCAGAGAGCAGAAGCTGGGATTCAAGTTGCAAGGCTAGAAGTCAGCTTAACATTATAGGTGTCAGAAGCAGCCATGGCTATGAATGACATCACCTAAGAGTAAATAAAAAGAGAGAGAGAGAGAAAGAAAGAAGAAAGGAAAAGAGGGAGAAGAGGATAAAGAGAAGGATAGACCTCCAGGGAAGAATAACACCTAAAGGGTAGGCAGAAAAAAAAAGAAGCCCCAGGGGAAATGAGGATAGGCAGAGACTGGCTTTCAACAGGCAACCTCTTTCGTTCTAAAAATGGGGAAAATGTGCACCCCGATGTTTATAGCAGCAATGTCCACAATAGCCAAACTATGGAAAGAGCCAAGCTGTCCATCAACAGATGAATGGATAAAAAAAGATGTGGTGTATATATACAATGGAATGTTATGCAGCCATCAAAAGGAATGAAACCTTGCCATTTGCAATGACTTGGATGGAACTGGATGGTATTATGCTGAGAAATAAGTCAATCAGAGAAAGACATGTATCATATGATCTCACTGATATGAGGAATTCTTAATCTCAGGAAACAAACTGAGGGTTGCTGAAGTGGTGGGGGGTGGGAGGGACGGGGTGGCTGGGTGACAGACACTGGGGAGGGTATGTGCTATGGTGAGCGCTGTGAATTGTGCAAGACTGTTGAATCACAGATCTGTAACTCTGAAGCAAATAATACATCATGTGATTAAAAAAAAAAAGAAGATAGTAGGAAGGGAAAAATGAAGGGGGGGCAATCGGAAGGGGAGACGAACCATGACAGACTATGGACTCTGAGAAACAAACTGAGGGTTCTGGAGGGGAGGGGGTGAGGGGATGGGTTACCCTGGTGATGGGTATTAAAGAGGTCACGAACTGAATGTAGCACTGGGTGTTATATGCAAACAATGAATCATGGAACACTACATCAAAAACTAATGATGTATGGTGATTAACATAATAAAATAAAATAAAGTAAAAAATGGGGAAAATGAGTAGGGCAAAGCTGGGAAATAGAAGTTTAAGTCCTCATAGTCTCAATTCTCTGTAAGATAGGACCAAGAGCCATATCCTAGGGGAGGGGACAGAGGACCTCATGAGGAAAGTGAGAGGTTTAGATTAGCCACCATGGAAAAAGGAGAGGAGCGACACCAGAAACAAACAAAAGGCTTATATTGAGGGCTCTCCTAAAGTTGAAGCTGAGATACTTACAGGGATTACACTCTGAAGGGCTGCATGTACTTCACATGGAATGCAGCATTCCAGAAAAGGTGGGTGACAGGATTAATTCAATGCTGATACTTGCAGAATGGTTAGACTGAAAGACAATGGGACAATGGACTTGAAGGGACTGTGGAGAACACTTCATCTGGTGTCCCATATAAGGCTGAGGCTGGATAGGGAAGGAAGAAAATCTGAAAGGGGCTGATGGTTTAGGAGAGAAAGGAACAGTCAAGAGAAGAGCGCTGTGAAGAAGCTAAAGAGATAGAACAGAAATAAAGGAGAAAGAAAAATTAGTAAAAATGAGGAAGTGAAAAGCTGGAAAGATGTGAATTGTCATCAATTACTGAAATTTAAGATTTCAGAAAGAGAAACTCAAGATGGTGATATTCATTCAAGGTGTAGCCATGGGAGTAAGTTCCTGGAATGTGATGAAGTCACTGGTGCAGAAGTCAAGATTATCAGCAAGTTATTAGATCATCCCAACATGACAACAGGAGCCGAGGTAGACAGAAATACTGTAAGCAAGATAGCAAGTCAGGTTCTCTGGCCTTTATCACTCATCTCTACTATTAAAGACAAAAATATTAAAATTTCAATACATATGAAAAGGTGCACGCTAAACACATATGAGCTAATGATGGACTAACCTAACTTGGTTTCATTTGATAAACCATTTGTTTTTTAAACAAAATAGGAAAATCACTTGAAAATTTTTATAAAATGCCCAAAAGCATAAAAATTATAAATGTTTTACCATGAGTAATGGTAAAACAAAAATGAAACATTTCTTTTGTAGCATCTTTCATTATCTTATTCTGGAAATGGAGTCTGAATACTAGTTGTAATTTTTTACTTTGCCAATTTTTAGATCCTTAGCATATATCTAAAGCAATAAGGTGACTTGATTTTAATCTCTGAAGCACAGTAAACTTCAAGATAGATTTAAAAATAACCTAAAGATATTTAAAATGGTCAATTTTATGTCACAATAAAAAAAACCTACTAATTAAAAAAAAAAAACTTGTAAAGCTAAACTCGATTCCTACTTAGTATTAGTTATAGAATATCTGCAGTTCAGGCTGAGTTAGAATAACATACATGCCATCTTAGAAATTAAAGAATCGTTCTTTCATAGATTTAAAAACATATAATGTAAAATGGCGATGGCATTAAAATAGGTAACCAGGCTGGATATCTTTATGTAGTGTAACATTCTTAAACAGTGTCAATATGTCTTCTTTTCTGGAACTTTTCCATTTCACGGGTTGTTTTGTTTTCCTGTTTGAAAAGGAACAGATGAACTTACTGGTTAGTGTGATGCTGAAAGAAGTTTAAAATTTGTTTTGCATTTGTTGTATTCCATTCTTGTTCTTTCAGGGGTCCTTCACACACAGATACATACTTTTTCAAAATTTTTTCTCCTACTTCTCGGAAATCCAAGGGTTCTTTTTGTGTTGTGTAGCTTGCTCCAGAAACACCAGAATCCACTTCATGATTTTCTGGCTGTTGATCTGCACAATGCTTCAATCCCCAGTAACACATTTCTCCACTGTACATCATAGCCAGCAAATGAATGTCACTAAATATTCCTGGGAAAATCATTTAGGTTGAGAAATTAGAATTTAAATGTTTAAAAAGAAAACCTGGCTATTTAAACTCTAATAAATTCCTTTTATGTCATTAAGCATTTTTCCTTCTCACTTAACAGTTATACTAGAAAAGCCGAATCATCACTAATACATTCTTCATGTAACTGGCATTTCTATCTCTATTTTACCTATAAAAGAGGTCCATCACCCTCATCCCCCCCAAAAAAGAGTACTGTCAGAGAATTTTTTTTTAATAATTATTTAGGCCACTGTGTTCTTAACTTTTTTGCGATTCTCTTTAGGACCTCTTTGAGATGCTAATATAATCAATGGAACCTCTCCCGGAATATACACCTCAAATTCTCCATACAATTTTAGAGTATTCAGAGACTCCTTGAATCTCATGAACCCAACTTTTATTTTGGGGTATATTCTAGGATCAGTGATACAGTTCCAGTATTCTACACCTCCTGTATTTCTACAAGAGTCTACAGAAATTATCATACATAAATATGACCCAAGGAGGCCATATAATTCTAAATTATGAAAGATGTTAAATTATAACCAAGATGCTTTATATTCCCAGAAAAGAAGGAATACAATGTAGGATTGTCATCAAGAGTTAAAAGCATTCTTGTTATGAAATAAAGTAATTATATAATTAAATATTTATGGCACACTAAATATATTAATTTGGTAGACAGACATACAGACCTAGAATCAAAAGATCTGGGTATAAATTATTGACTATGATTTTGGGCAACTTTGAGCCTAGGTTTGCAAATCTGAAAAATGAGCATTCCATACAACCTCTTATTCTATGAAGTTGTCTTAAGGAATACATAAATAAAAATATGTAAGAGTTTTAGAAACCATAAAATGCTATTAAGATACATGATTATTTAACTTCTTGAACCCACTAGAATACAAATAAATGATTTATTTTAATGTATGATTAGAAAAGTTTACCTCAAATCAATGAGTATCATAATCTCAGCTGCTCACTTAATATGGCTCATCAGAAATGACTATGATGGTATTAGATATACAAATAAAAGAAAAATCCAACTTTCAAATCTATCATAGTTTCCATTGTCTTGAATCTACTGCAAGCTTTTTATATAGTCTCAGAATTTGTCCCTACAGTATGTCCTTCACTTCACCTCAAATTCAGGTTCTAGTACCACCAAGAGAAAGAACAGGTTTTACAGGAGAGATGACTCATTAAACCATCAATAAAAAAGTCACTTAAGAGCAGAATCTGAAGCCAGCATTCATGCAAATGATAGGCTACGCTACATGAATTATGCTTTCTATGAATAAAACATTATATATGTATTATAAAAGTGTTATGTACATATATAAGTATAAAGTATTGTTATAAACATAATATATAAATATTAATAAATATAATTTTTCACTATTTTAGTTAAAAAATCATAAACCTCAGAGAAGCTGGTTACAGCATTAGATGTTACTCAGAATTATATTTTGTATTAGATATGGCATTTTGTTGAATGCATATCCTTTTCATTTTTGTGATCCTATACCCTGTCTAGTTATTCCTAAAAAGAATGGTGGAGGGGAATAAAAAGATAGAAACAGAAATGGAGAGAAGGATGAACTTTTAAGCAGGCTGGAGCTTTGGGAGGAGCAGAAATATGTCCCACAAAGTGAAGCCACTTGGGAAGGGTGAGAGGAGTGTTTGCCTAGGGGACATCTGGGATCCAACTTGTGCCCAAGTCTAAGCCTCGGTCTTTATATTAACAAGGAGTGACTGCTGAACAGGGGACACAGATATCCTGTGGGAAAATGTTACGAGAGAATGAATGGCTATATGCTAAAGTGTGGTTCTCAAACTTGAGCCTACTTTAGGATTACCTGGACACAGTAACATGTTGATTGCTGCACCCCCAACTCTAGACATTCAGATTCGAGTATGGGGTTGAGTCTGTGAATCTGCATTTTTCACGAAGTCCTAGCACTTAGGTTGATGCTGCTGATCCAGACTATGCTAAACTACTGCAATTAAGTATCAACAGAAGAGATGAACAATGTAAATTAGGCACCTTCTCCCTTTCAACTTCCCGGAGGATTCTACTACTCTCTAGCTATATAGTCTTTTTGCTGCTATGAACTTTCCTTGATATTCTTTCTCTTAATGGTCTGCATAGTTTTCAATAAAATATTCCACTCTGCACTATGCAAGTCAGTGCACTTGGTGAAACATATGTGATAATGGGGGGTGCAGGTAGGAAGGGGGAGAATAACCCATGAAGTGAGAATGAGGGCAGAAAGAGGACATCCACAGGAAAAAAAAAAAAAAAAAAAAAAAATTGGCCAGATTGATATCCACTAGGAACAGTGACTCTAAAATCTGGCTGCGTCATAATATGGGAGCTTATTAAAAACAGATTCCCAGACTCCATATATCGAACTGACCCCTGCAGGTGGTACACGGAAATCTGTTAATTTTTAACAAGCTACCTAGGCAATTAGTGATGCTAGTTCAGAGCTGCTCCTTTCGGGGATCTAGAATCCAGGTCCTGGGTTAAGCTATGAGCCAAAATGCTGCTGAGAAGGCAGCAGGGGAGGTCCTCAATGGTATAAAAAAGGTCATAAACCAAGGGTGTGCAAAGCTCAATAGTACTTTGATTTAACCCACTTGAGTCCAGGATTATTCTGACAAGGCTATTTCTATAAGGGCCCACAGAAGAATGAGGCTCAGAAATGACATAAAGAGGCTTACTGAAGACATTATTTGGTAATTATTAAAAGCTGAAAATGTAATGGCATATGAGTAATGTTCAGAGAACGACAAAATGATTCTCACCTTGGAAAAAGAAAAACAATCATACTAAGTATACACTGCTTTGAGTTTTACCTAAAGTTGGGTAAATTATCATTAATATCTGGCCACAAAAATATTTTGATAATTCATATAGAACTTTTTAAATTAATATTAAGGATAATTCAGAATTATGCTTCCCCCTCTCTAATGGGGTCTCAGGAGGAATTCAGCCTATGAAAAATAGGCTTGCGGGCTTCTAATCTACATCTTGAGAGAGAAGAAGTAGGGAAGAGCAAACTGCTTTAGATGAGAACAAGAAACTAACACCAGAAGAGGATCTAGCCCTGTGGCCAAAGTGCTAGGGAGCAGATGTGTTCTTTTTTCTTGGAAAGAAGATCTGTCCCTTTTGATTGTCCTGTTGGAAGAAGTAGTGGAAGCTAGGGGCTAGTGCAATCAAATTATGATTTAAGAGAAGACACCAATACCACAAATATCCTAGAGAAAATTCCAGGCCATAAAAGTATCTACCCTATGACTAGAAATAGGAGAATAAGGGAAATTGCTGATCTTCCTACTATCTTTGGTTCTAAATAGGCTTTGGTGCCCATCCCTGCTTTTTCTTTTGTATCAATCCATGTGGGTGGGTGAGATTTTAGAAAGGCCATTCTCAGTGCAGCTAATCACTTTATTAGTTATTTGAAATAAATACTTCCTACAAATAAGTCAAAATACTCCATGTTTGTCAAAATATCAGGCCCACTGGAATGGCACTTGGTATTCACAATTTTTAGGACAAGCTACTTGCCTGAATTAACTGAAAGTAGTAACTTTCAGTAGTCAGTCACCTGTTAATGACACTTAAATCATGCTGTTTTTTCTAAGCAATGTTTTCAAATAAAATGGAAAAGTCTACAGAAGCTAACAAAGAAAAATAATTAAAATACTTATAAAATTAAACCACAGAATCTTCCCTAAGTTTTCTTCTTCTTCTCCATATTTGATTTCAGATGAAGTATAATTTCAAATTTTCAGATGAAGTATTAAAGAAAGTTTACGCATATAATCGAAGGTCACTTGCCAGGTATGTGACCTTTAACAGGTCATCTGGCTTATCAGGACCTCAGTTCCTCCACTTACAAAAAGATGGTAAAAATAAGTGGTTCTTCCCTCCCACACCTCAATCTAAACCCCAAATGATGCTCTATATTCATCCAGTTCCTAACATTTTTTTTTTTTTAAGATTATTTATTTATTTATTTGACAGAAAGAGACAGTGAGAGTGGGAACACAAGCAGGGAGAGAAGCAGGCTTCCCGCTGAGCAGGGAGCCCAATGTGGGGCTCGATCCCAGGACTCTGGGATCATGACCTGAGCCAAAGGCAGACGCTTAACGACTGAGCCACCCAGGCGCCCCCAGTTCCTAACATTTTTAAGTGCACAGATATTTATGACAAGAACTAACAGTTGCCACCCGATACTCGTTCTTCCCTTCTTTCTTATTAAGAGACAATTTTATTTGGGATGGCAATGTATCAGGTAAAGGGCTATCCTGTACATCCCAAGTTCCCTTGTACCTGTATGAAGTTAAATTCTTGCCAGTGAAATGTAGGTGGAATTTTTAGTGTCAGAAACTTCTAAGAAGGTTGCTCTTTTAGACTTGGCTGAAAGAAACATCCTTTTGCCATTCCTATAGACTGAAACGTAGGTGAGATGACAGGAGCTCCAAAAGCATTCTAAGACACTGAGAATGCAGTATCCTCAATGGGGATTCATGCTGCACAACCCTAGGAAGTGCTGTTTACATGCTAGTCTATATAAAGTGCCTCCCTCTGAGGCTGTAGGCTGTAGTTCTGAAGAGGATGGAGGAAAAATGTAGGAACCTGATGATGCCTTGGAGCCACCATAACCAGCTCCAGACCGTTTTTATGTGAAAGAGCAACATGATATATAATTCTCCCAGAATTGCTATAAAGAGATTAGCAGTATTTTTCTGGGTTACATGAGAAGACATTTAAATTTTTTAAAAGCCCTTTTATTATTTTTTGGTATATAACTTGAAATTCATTTAAATCAGAGTTACGTCTAATAAACTTAATTTTTTTTAAAAATCTTTAAAACAGAAAACTTCAAAAAGAGATCACATTACCTTCACTCAGTAATTTAGCTGTGTCTAAATCTTGGAAAGAAACTCCTTCATTTAACTGGAGAGGACACCGATAATTTAGCATCTGTAGCAAGTAACTGATTCCATCAATAAGGTACTAAATGAAAGTCAAAGCCAAAGAATTGCAAATATTACATACAGAACTGTAGAAACTTCAAATGTTAATTTTTTCCCCATTCTTTACTCAAGAGAAAATTGGCTAATGTGTAGATATATCTTATGGTTATTATAAACAATGGTAGAAGGACCCACCACCCCCAAAACTTTTATAAATGTAACCTTCCAAATGCTCCAATTAGCAAAAACGTATGGGGGGAAAAAATTAACCAGGAACACAATTCAGTAATATACTTGTCAAAAATGTTATCAGAGGAAGAAAAGGATAAAGATAATAAAGATGAGTTCAATAACAATTTATTAAAATATGTATGCACTTACTACAATTTAGAAATAGTATGATCAAGCTTTTATATCAAGTGTGACCTCTAACTTCAGGCCCACATAAACCATGTGTACAATCAACTCAAGTTAGACTCCTTAGTGATACTTAACACTAAGATTTACTAATTTACAGAGTCAAGATGAATCAGAGGGCTACAATGTTCTAGCAGCAGGGTCATGATGGTCTTTATGAGTGATCTGCTGACAGAGACAGACAGGCTCACAACCAAGTTTGTTCTCTTCAGGCCAAAAATATGCTTAGAAATTAATAAAGACTGTCTAGCTTGTATTTTAAAAAATAAAAATTCAAAACTTAAAAAAAGCATAGAATTTACCAGTTTACAAAGGCTTTCACATGTTATCTTATTTAATCTTCACAATAATTCCAATTTGTTTAAGAATACATAGCTAGCAAGTAAAAGAGCTGGAATGTAAACCCAGACTGTTGACTCCACTACTTTTCTTACTACATCAAGGACAGCTTTTTAAACCTATAAATGTCAATGATCAAAAATGTATAAGGAATGCCCTTTTACCTTTTTAAGCAAACTGGATTTTCTTGTGAGCCACTCTCTCCTTTTGGTCAGAGAATGACAATACATATAGAGTAGGGCTCCCCGTCTCCAAGAGAGACATTCTAGGAGTTCATCCCCAAGCAAATCGCAGGGCTGAAACAACAAAGACATAGCTAAAAAAAGAAACCTTGCATCTGTAAAAATCAAAATTAATTTCAAAATATTGAGCAATTCAAAACACTTTCATTTCACAAAATTTGCCCTTTACTTAGCTTACACATGAATGCCTTACTTTGAATCAGAAGTATAGAAATCTATTGCTACATGAAAATTAAAATAACTACTCCAATTTACAATTTTTTAGAAAATAATGTTTCAGTATTTTAGTAGCCGATTCTAATATATCTAAAATATAAGTTTTTCATAATCTGATTAAAAAGATAACTTTTCATTCGATAAGTGGTGTGGGAAAACTGGACAGCTACATGCAAAAGAATGCAAATGGACTACTTTCTTACACCATAAACAAAAATAAACTCAAAATGGATTAAAGATCTAAATGTAAGACCTGAAACCATAAAACTCCTAGAAGAAAACATAGGCAGTAATTTCTTTGATATTGGTCTTAGCAACACTTTTCCAGGTATGTCTCCTGAGGCAAGGGAAACAAAAGCAAAGATAAACTACAGAGATTACACCAAAATAAAAAGCTTCTGCACAGCAAAGGAAACCATCACCAAAATGAAAATGCAACCTACTGAATGGGAGAAGGTATGTGCAAATGATATATCTGATAAGGGGTTAATATCCAAAACACATAAAGAACTTCTACAACTTAACACCAAAAAACCCCAAATAATACAATCAAAAAGTGAACAGAGGACCTGAATAGATACTTTTCAAAACATGACAAAGAGATGGCCAAAGAACATTTGAAAAGATGCTCAACATCACTAAGCATCAGGGAAATGCAAAGCAAAACAACGAGATATCACCTTGCACCTGTCAGAATGGCTAGAATCAAAAAGACAAGAAATAACAAGTGTTAGTAAGGATTTGGAGAAAAAGGAACCATCATACACTGTAGGTAGGAATGTAAATTGGTGCAGCCACTGTAGAAAACAATTTGGAGGTTCCTCAAAAAATTAAAAATAGAAGTACCATATGATCCAGTAGTGGATCCACTAGTGCATAATTCCACTAGTGGGTATTTACCCAAAACAAAGACTAATTTGAAACAATACATGCACCCCTATGTTTATTGCAGCATTATTTACAATAGCCAAGATATGGAAGCAACCCAAATGTCCATCAATAAATAAGTGGGTAAAGATGTGGTGTATATATACAAAGGATTATTATTCAGCCATAAAAAAGAATGAAATCTTGCCATTTGTGACAACATGGATAGACTTAGACAGTATCATGCTAAGTGAAATAAGTCACACAGAGAAAGACAAATACCATATGATTTCACTTACATGTGAAATCTAAAGAACAAATGAATAAACAAAAAGCAGAATCAGACTCATAAATACAGAGAACAAACTGATGGTTGCCAGAGGGATGGGCAAAATGGGTGAATGTGAGTACAGGCTTCCAGTTATGGAATCAGTTAAGTCACAGGGGAAAAAAAGGTACAATGGTATTGTAACAGCCTTGTAAGATGTAGCTACACTTATAAGCATAGCATAACATACAGAGTTGTTGAATCACTATCTTGTACACTTGAAACTAATGTGACATTGTATGTCAACAATACTTCAATAAAAAAATAATTTTAAAAAAAGGATAACTTTTCAGAAATGTTACTTGAAACAAGATCACACTTATTTGTACTATTGCTAGACTAAAATAATGAAGATATATATAAAAACGGTTTTAATAAATCAAACTTTTAGCAGCCCCTGGGTGGCTCAGTCCATTAAACGTCTGCCTTCGGCTCAGGTCATGATCCCAGGGCCCTGGGAGGGAGCCCTGCATTAGGCTCCCTGCTCAGTGGGGAACCTGCTTGTCCCTCTTCCTCTGCCCCTCCCCCCCACTCTAGCTCCCTCATGCGCGCAAGCACTCTGTCTCTCAAATAAATAAATAAAATCTTAAAAAAAAATGCTGCTGGGGCGCCTGGGTGGCTCAGTCGTTAAGCGTCTGCCTTCAGCTTAGGTCATGATCCCAGGGTCCTGGGATCGAGCCCCGCATCGGGCTCCCTGTTCCGCAGGAGGCCTGCTTCTCCCTCTCCGCACCCCCTGCTTGTGTTCCCTCTCTCGCTGTATTTTTCTCTGTCAAATAAATAAATAAAATCTTTAAAAAAAAAAAAAAAAGCTGCTTCCTGAGTTAAGCTTCCTTTTTTTTTTTTTAAGATTTTATTTATTTATTTGACAGAGAGAGAGTATAAGCAGGGGCACTGGCAGGGAGAGGGAGAAGCAGGTTCCTTCTGAACTTGATCCCAGGACCCCGGGATCACGACCTGAGCCAAAGGCAGACGCTGAGTTAAGCTTTCTAAAATGAGGCCTTTGTGATTTCATTCTCTATCCCTCTAAAAAAAATCAATCAATCAAATTTTTACTGTGTTGTACCATCTAAAACTTGAGATTATGTGTTTCCACAGTTAGCATCCCCTGATAAACACACAGAGAAAAAAAAAACCTAAGTAAAGAGAGCCAGCAGTTGAAGAATTATTTGCTTGAAAGAGTAGCCAGGTCTAGAAATAAAAATCTTGGAATCATCTAAACAGAGAGGACAGTAAAAAGCATGTGAACAAGTTATGAAGCAAAGACAGAACAGAGGATCAGAGGATTAAGAAGATATCCTTGGCACGGGCCTATCTTTCCAGGATGGGAGAGAAGGGAGATGCCTGGGAAAGAGCAAGAGCAAGGCTCTGAGACATGAAGAGGAGCATGCAAGACCTCAGAGGGATGAGGTGATCAATGGGAAGGAAGGCAGCAAATGTCCAGGGGGATGAGAACTGTAAAAAGGACAAAAGAGATGTGGTAATTAGATCACTAGGGACCTTCAAGAAAACAGTACCTGCAAAAGTAAAGGGAACAGAAACAGTAAATAATGTGTTTAGAAAATGATCAGGCACCATTAATTCCAACACAATTCCATCTGCAAACATTCTGAAACATATATGTAATATTTTAGTTATGATGTTGTTCTAAAGTGTTAAACTCTCATATATTCTTCATTTAATCTTAATTTAAAACAGAGACAAAGACACATTCCAGAGGAAAAATTACAGACTCTGAAGAGCAATACAGCAAGAATCAGCACCATTTCATTATAATTTATAGGAGTGCAAAACTTACTTTTGGATGCATATTATTTTCTTTAACTAAAATTACTGGTTCTGAAAGAAAACTGATCAGCTCTTTTACTTTCTGTGAAGAGTCTTCAGGAAAATCTTCATCTACTAGTTTGTTCTCCTCAAAATATGTCATGTCCAAAATAGCCTGAAGTAAAAGGAAAAAAAAAAAGAGTATCCATAAAAACATGAATAATTCTTACAGTTTAACTTTACATATATAGATGCTTTTTTAGACAGTTAAATCTTCCAGCACAGTATTTAAATTTGAAAAGTAGGAAAAATGTCTAGAAAAGTATAATCTGTATATGTATAGAATCTGTAAATATATAGAAAAATATAATCTGAGATGGACTTCATAGGGAACTTCATAGGTATTTTACTAAAATATTGAATTAATGATCTTGCTTCTCCCAAAAAGGTAAGTAAATAAAATGGAGACTTTAGATAAGCTAATCACATATAATTATGAAAAATATAATTTTTATGTCCTTTGCAATTTACACATATATATACTTCTTGAACATTTTCTAAATGCTTGCTACATCAATTTAAGGTCAATACCTCTAGTTTTATATATTGAATCTTCAAAGGATTTGTTTCCTCAAACGCAGAACCAGCATTTGGAGGATATGTATCCTGCCACCCAATAAAGGCAGCATATCACCAACATTATGTAATTTAAACACTAAATCCCCAGCATTCCTAAATATAAGATGCTCTGTTCAAGTACCTAAAAACTACCCAACCCTTTCTCTTTTTTTAATTTATTGAACTAAGACTAAGGAAACTGAGGTCTACCACTAAATCACCTAACTAACCAAGGACAAGTCAATTTTCTTTTAGTGGTAAAAATGAAGAAATGGCTTTTCAAAGTTCCTTGCTTTGAGGATAAAATGAATTAACATATGTAAAGCATATAACTAACTAGCATATAGGGTTACTTAAGTGCTAAGTGTTCTTGTGTGGAAGGCCTATGCCAGGAAGGGCAAGATCATTATCCTATGGAGAATTACCTGTTGATTCAGAACCAAAATTAGGGTCCAAGGAGGCCTGAGGAATTTAAATCTGTATCTCTAGGTTTTTCATCTTATCTTTAGAAATAAATTAAAATGTTTAGGGGCACCTAGCTGGCTCAGTCAGTAGAGCATGTGACTCTTGATCTCAGGGTCGTGAGTTTAAAGCCCCATGTTGGGCATGGAGCCTACTAAATATATATTTATATATTTATATATATATATATATAAATATAGAGAGAGAGAATGTTTAGAACTCTCCCATGTGAAAGACATGGAACAAGCACAGAGTCTTCCAAAGGGAAAGAAAGCCAGGCAAAGCTCTGCCAAGTAACAGTGGGCCCTTCAGGGTTTGTGAGTACAAGTTGTTACAGATATCATTCAACCATATCTGAAGGCAGAACCCAGCTTTATGTATTTCCTAACAGAAAGCAGAGTGCCAGGCACCTAAGTGTTATACATGTGTACTCTGGAAGCTTACCTAAGTTTAGTTTCTATAACCACTTCATCTTATTATACTTTCACAATCATGTAAGGGCATATGAAGCACTCTGTCAACTATAAAGTGCTATAGCAATGTTAGTTACGTAATGAAATTATGTTTCTTAATGTCATCTTGCCTCAGCAGTGTTTGAGAAAAATCAAGAAAACAGGTCTTGTCCATACAGTGACCTGAATTTGAAAGGAAAGTTAAAAATGGGGGTGGGGACACAGAAAAGTCTTATAGACCTACATGACAATAGCAGGAGAGTCGTGTTGAGAATCCCAAGAAAAGATGAATTTCAGGGGAAAAAAAACAATCAGGGACTTCACAGAGACCTTCATTCCCTCTTAATAACCTTCAAGAACTTGGAAATTACATATATTAGTGTTTTGCTTAATTCTATATAAAGGGAAGCAGTTCTGTTATCCCCAAGATTTTTTCCTTAACACATTAGATAATAAATCTTACTTTTCTGTATATTGCCTCAAAGTTTCAAGTCTCTATGTTTTATATACACAGGTTTTTTTGATGAAAATTAAACACTTTATTTTTATTTTAAAGTTTTTGTTTTTAAGTAATCTCTACACCCAACCTGGTGCTCTAACTTACAACCCCGAGATGAAGAGTTGCATACTCTACTGAGTCAACCAGGTGCCCCAAAATCAAACACTTTAAATAGAGAATAAACTGGTTTCGCTACACCTAAACTTTAGAGTCAGTCATCTTATATAAGCAATCTTCTCCATAACATGTCAGAAACCACATCTGTTTCAGTACCTGTGTATAAAGTTCTAGAAGATTTGATGGATTTGAACATTCTTTGTCTTCTCCACACAGAAGTTTCAATTTTTCTAGAGCTGCAGAGGCCCGAATTAAAAAGTGATCTGTAAGAGATAAAAATGTGAAGATTATTTCATATAGTTTCAAAGTGTTAAACAAAAATGGTGTATCTGAAATATTATGTTACAGCATTGAAGAAGCAGCATGGTAGTAATATCTTTTGTAAAACATGAAGTATGTCATAATGCCTAATACTTCTTAACAAATTTATCATGGTAATTTATTCTGAAAAGCTAGAATGAACTTCCTAGGTCCAGCTATCATTTCATAAATGCAATTTGTATTTTCATTTTCATAATGCTGCTTTTATGATGTTCATACGCAATGTTTAAGTAATAAATTTAAAACTTTTATTGGAATAGTACAAATACACATAAATCTACAGAAAGGTCTTCCACTGAACTTATAATTCCATAAATGTATTTTCTAAAACATGATTAAATCAAATGCCTCATAAAATGTAAGCTCTGAGCAATTATAACTTTATCCTGTGCTTATGTATTTATGTAAGTAGCTGTTACAATTACAATCCACCTGCACTTTTTTTTTTTTTTAAGATTTTTATTTATTTGTCAGAGAGAGAGAGAGAGAGAGAGAGCACAAGCAGGGGGAGCAGCAGAGGGAGAGGGAGAAGCAGGCTCCTCACTGAGCAAGGAGCCCGATGTGGGACTCGATCTCAGGACCCTGGGATCATGACCTGAGCCAAAGGCAGACGCTTAACGACTGAGCCACCCAGGCGTCCCCACCTGCATATTTTATTCCTTTAAAAACCTAGAAATGGAATTACCTAATTCCTTCAAAGAAGGAACTGAGTATTCTAATATGTCCTCTAAAAACAATTCACCCTCCCTCCCCTCTACATTGTCTAATTTCTCCCCTTTCTATAATGTCATATTCCCTTTGCTTCTATGGTTTCACTTTTTCTTATGGATTTTTCCTCCATAACCTACAAAGTGTCCATACCAAGGTGCTATCTATCTACCCTTCTGCACCATCTCATGTCAAATTTAGACACCAAAGTCCTTGAGTTTGCCCCTCTGTGCTTCCCTTCTGAAAATATATACCCTTTCCAACACTAGCCAATGGACAGAAAATGTAATACTTGGTGCAGGCCCATCTGATCCAGCTTTAGCACTTACACAAACAGATAAGCTGTTCACTGTTGAAGTAAAGGCACCGCCAGCTTTAGTTATGTCTGCTGGTAATCATACTATGACCTTAAGTTTTCCTAGGGAAGGCCTAATCTGTATCTAAACCAGACTGATTGCTTTTAAAGTCCACTATTCACCTGAACTGCCCTCCCATCTCTCCTCAGCCCTGAAGTAGCATCTATACAACCCAGAAAAAAATATTCTACTGTGAAGTGAAATTGTATGGAATATGGCACTCCTTATGTGCTTTAGAAACTGAGTTGATATTTTCTTCTTTAAATTGCAAGATTATTTTAAATGTAAAGACTTGCAGTGAATTCAGTAAACCATTGCTGAAGGAGTAGCTCACATAAACTTGTAAGTACAGGGGAGGGGGTTACAGCTCACATTTTAGCAAACTTATAAAATGCAATACTTTTACTGGAACCATTCAGTCAAAGAAATGATCGGCAAGGCAAAGACAAGTGATTCTTACATAATCCTGAAAAAAGTCCCTCTCATGGCATACTTCCATATAGTAAACACATTGTGTTTGTACAATGAGAAATAAACAAAAACTGACTTAGTAATAAACAGAGCATTCTTGGAATATGTGGCTGCATCTGATCTAATCTGAAGTAGAAAATAGGAACTAATCAATCCCTATAACCTAATATAAATACATAGTTGCTACATTAAAGGGCACATTTTGAGTGAATATTATTTTTGTTGTGTGAAAAAGAATGCCAAGTTCAGGGGCACCTGGGTGGCTCAGTCAGTTAAGCATCCGCCTTCTGCCCAGGTCATGATCTCTGCTTCTCCCTCTCCCTCTGCCACTCCCCCTCCGCTCTTGCTCTGTCTCTTGCTTTCTCACTCTCAAATAAAATCTTAAAAAAAAAAAAAGAATGCCAAGTTCAGTTCAAACATGAAACCATGTTTTAATTAAACTTCATAAAATAAGAAAATCTTGCTATTAATACTGATTAACAGCTCATAACATGGATCACTATCATTTTAATTTTAGTAAATTTTCACAACTTTAAAGTCTTCCAACAAGGAGCGCCTGGCTAGCTCAGCTGGTAGAGCATGCGACTCTTGATCTTACGGTTGTAGGTTCGAGCCCCATGTTGTGTGTAGAGATTACTTAAAAATAAAATCTTTAATAAAAATGAATAAAGTCTCCCAACAAAAATATGTAGCACTTTACTTTTACTTCCACCCCTCATTCTAGTATGGATAAAAGAACTCTTCCATGGGAAAACGAGAAGGGCTTTCGGGTTCAGTGATAAATGAATAAAAAACACTGTTCGATCTCTCTAGACTGGTTTAAATGGAGCTGGGGTGGGGTGGAGATCACTGTAATGTAATGTAAGGTAACCTGGATACACTTCCAGGTAATAGCCACTACAGTCCATAAACTATTCTCACGAATCCTGGTATTTGCTTACCACACATTGAAAAAGAAATCTTCAGGGTGATCTGTGGGTTTTGAAGAACATACTCCTAAGAAAAGATAATCCAGCAAATAATCTTCACTGGAACTTGAGCCATTCATTGTGGACCCTACTCAATAAATTCACCAACAATCAATCATCTGGCAAAATGTTCCACTACTATTTTCCTTAAGTCTGATGACAATGAGTCAGTCCACAAGAATTTAAAAACCTATTTGTAGTAAAGGCTCAAAACTCAAAAATAATAGGAAGCTGAAATGTAATAAAACAGAATTGGACTTAAAACTAAAAGTCGAAGTAAATAAATAAATAAATAATAAAAAGTAAAAGTCCAGGTAGTTCTCTAAGCCAGTCTGTCCTAAGGAAACCACTTAGACATTTCCAAACAAGTGTTCTAACACTAACAGAGCCCTCGTGAGAATTGAGGTGATGTATATGGAAGAATCATCCAAACTATACCAGTGTAAAGCTCTGCGGTAGAATACTATTTACAGTTGGGTTTAGAATCCAAAACAGGAGATGGAAATTTATAACGCAGCAATGAAAAAGTGTAACTGTTATGCATGCCTACCTATCTTTACTGCACCCAAAACAACCATTACTTATTTGTGTACTATCAGTCAGCTTCAACCACTCATTTAAACTTTTGTACTTTTATCCAGATTTTAACCTTTTCCCAGTTGCTCTCAAGATAAAGAAGAGCAGCACGGATTTGACGGAGATGTAAGAGGTTTTCATAGGTCATGAAAAACGCAGTTTCGACGCAAATGCCTTGGCATAGGGCAACGTGAGTTCCTGGGGGTGGACAACCTACCCTGCAGCGAGGGTCAGAAGCGCAACACCTCGGGTAGCTCTGGTCTGGGCGCTATACGCACCACAGGCCGAAGCCTCCAAGCCCCTACTGGCGTAGAGTGCCAGCTTTGAAAGACCGCCAGCCCGCCCGCCCCCCTCTCCTCCGCTCCCTCACCATCTTCGCCGGCAGCTTCGCTAAGCTGCTGTATGTGGGCCTGAGCCAGGTCCCCGAGCTCTTCCACTCGCCTCACCACGCTGGAACCTGCGGCCGCCATGGCCACAACGGGCGGGCGCGCCCCAGCCACGTGACTGCGCCTGCCCGCGGTCAGCTGATCCCCCGGCGCAGGCGGAGCGTGAGGGCGGAGCTCGTTCGGTTGGTGGGAGGGAACCCCAGCTCCGTAAGGGGGCTTGCACAGGCCGGTAAAAGCGGTTACTGTTTATTTTCTTCCTCTGTCTTCCCCTCCCTCCCACAATCCGGAACAATAGGGATACGTTGGGGGCGGGCATGACGTCAGGGCACGCCTTTCTCCCGCCCCTCCTCTAAACCAATCGGCAGCTCTCCACGCCCTCACGTTGGTCCAATGGGAAGCCCCATTTTCTCGGCGGGGCGCTGGGTGGATGCGACTGGCTGGTGGTGTTTGGCTGGCCGACCTCGCTGTTAGGTCTCTGGCCCGCGCTGCCGCTGTAGTCTATACGGCAGACGGGAAGGTCCGGAATTAGGATTGTCCCCTTTGGGCCTTGGAGTGAGGGCGTTGCCTAAAATAAAATGATTATAACCCATTGGTCAGAAATGGAAAGCCTGACAGCCCCCTTGCAAGCACATATAAGTCTTCAAGAGGTTATTGTGTGTCTGGGTGGGGAGCTCCAATCCTAGTCTACGCGTTGGAGTGTCGCTTTTCCAAATCTTAATTTTAGCACCTGGGTTTGTGTTATTTCTGAACTGCATTGGCTAGGTCGTATTTATGTACTTTAACCGTCTCGCGTCCAGTAGTACCAAAATTTTACATTTACAAAAAGTTCCATCACCACACATCTCAACCCTCAATGTGCTCATGTGTGAAGTTCATCCTCTCGAGAGTGAATTTCAAAGCGCTTAGTCAAACGAGTCTAATTTCTACTTTTCATTCTCTATATTCTTGCCTCTTGTCAAACAAATCTTAACTAGAGTTTTGTTTCTCAATTTGACAAAGTACATCTTGAAAAATATCTTACTTTTTATGAAAGGTAGTTTTTCATTTAATAGGCAATACTAAAAATAGGGAAATAGTGTGTTGTGATTTATGTGATTGATCACAATGGCTTCCTGGCTGACCTTTGTAACAACAGTTTCTTTCTTCTTCAGTTGACCCTAAACATAGGGGATGGACAGGAATCATGTATTAATTTTCTTTCCTCGGTGCCTTCTACAGTGCCTGGCACATAATGAGTATTGAGAAGATGTTTATTAGTTTAAAATTTCATGTTATCTTGTCAGTATATTACTCTCTAATCAGGAATGTAAAGGCCAGGAAGGTTGCATTATATGATCAATGTGGCTAAAGAAGCAAAACTAATAAGCATTTGACACTTCAGTGTATATTTTAAATAAATTTACAATTCCAATAATTCATTCAACAACCATGGACTTTTAGTAGGAAGCATACTTGACACTGGGAATTATCGCTCAACAGATAACTCAAGAGTGTGTGTGTCTTCAGAGAGAGTTGGAAGGGATGTGAGAGCACGTAGTACAGCCCTTCATTTCCAGATGAAGAAACTGGACAGAATTTGACTATGAATTTCTCCAAACCTTACAGTACACGATTCTGTGATTTGTCCAAGATCATACCAAAATAAGCACCTGAAGAAGAGTGTCTCACCATCGATATAAACAGGTAACAGCTAGCCCTCACCAAGAAAGGCACTGAAGAAAATACTTGAAGCCAAAGAGACCCTGTCATAAAAAAAGAAAATGAGTAATTTTCTCCAATTTTATAAGTTATTTTTTACTTTAAAAAACCTATATTATAGGGGCACCTGGGTGGCTCAGTCGTTAAGCGTCTGCCTTCGGCTCAGGTCATGATCCCAAGGTCCTGGGATCGAGTCCCACGTCGGGCTCCCTGCTTGGCAGGAAGCCTGCTTCTCTCTCCCACTCCCCCTGCTAATGTTCCTGCTCTCGCTCTCTCTCTCTCTGTCAAATAAATAAATAAAAATCTAAAAAAAAACAAACAAACCTATAGTATAAAAATATAATGCTAGATTTTAAAAACTTCTCAGAGAAATCAACTCATTATGAATCTACCAAAATATCTTATAAAATAAATAATTGATCTATTTGTACCATTGTCCTCATCACTAATATATAATTGGATAAAATCCAATTAGCTAAGAAGAACTTAATTAAATTAAATCAAATTTAGAACCAGGAAGACTTTTTGGGTCTTGGAATGTCTCTTTAGTTCCCTCTACTGACAATGTTTAGCATTGTATCAGCTTACAAAAAAATATTTAAAGGGCCCATACATTTTTTCATAAAAGAAGCAAAAAAGGATAAATTTAGAGCTGATAGGCAATAAATCTATAACCAGAACAGTCATAGCATATGCCATGACTCTGAGTTTGGAAATTGCTTGCCAGTTTGGAAGATTGGAAGGAGGCCAAAAGCTCCTGGTGATGAGGGAACAGAAGGCAAGCTGAGGACAAACCAGAAGCTGGCACCCTACCACCCACCCCCACTGATATATGTGACATTCCTCAGGCACTCCTGGCTGCCCTAAAGGAAAAACAAATGGTTAACTGATAGAGATCATAGTCCTGCAGGACAGGAGTCTCCCTCAGTTTACAAATGTCCTAGTGATTTACAAGGAAGAAGCTTTCTTATCAATTACCTAACTTCCAGAGACCCATAACTCAGTTGCTTGAAGCCCTTAACATCACCCTCCCCTACATGAAATTGAGGGAGGCTTAGGCAGAAGGAAATGTAAATAAAATTGAATTTCTTTTGAACCTGAAGCCCATTGACAAGGACGTGTGAGAGGAGGAATGTAACATTTCTCCAGGAAACTCCCAACTGTCTTCATGTTAGTGCCTCATTAGAGGGAAAAACAACGTTGGCTTGACAATAACGAAGCCTCCAGTATCCTGACAGTCTTTAGCATATGACAGTCCTTCTGGACACCCTCTTTGTCCTCACCTCCCCAACTCCTGAGTATATAATCAGCCACTCCTCAAGACCACAGTGCAGCAGCTCTTTCTGCCCACGGGTCCTGTTCCCATGCTTTAATAAACCACCATTTTGCATCAAAGATGCCTCAAGAATTCTTTCTTGGTCGTCGGCTCTGGACTCCACCCCAATGAACCTCACCTATATTCCAAAACTGTAACACTGGTGTGAGGGGGGAAAGTGGAACAAGGTGAGGCTTAAAGGCTATCTCTTGAGGTGAATGCCTCGCTCACAACCATGGAAATAAACTCCAAACCCTGGAGTGAGCTCCTGTTGGCCATGTCTATATTAATTGACCCTGTCTTCTGGCCATGGCCAATTCATTTCTTCAATTAGGCGGTCAGGCACAGGTGTATGGCAATAAGACAGAGCGGCCTTTGTGGCGATAGATCGAATGGTAGATAGTAGATAGATCTGGGGGTAAAAATTTGACAGAAGCCAAGCCAATCAGATTCTTTCTCCTGGTACTTTGAAACACTGAAGAGAGAAGCACAAAGACAAGACTAATCATGCAAATGTAAGCGCTCCACACAGAAACCCACCTGCTGCTACAGAGGTTCCTGGGGGAGGACTTGGTTTCTTTGCCTCCCTAAGTCTTAGTTGCTCAACTTTTCCTATCAAGGAAAAAAACTATCAAGTTTCCCGTGTCTTTATCCTGAAACTAATTAGAGTCAAAATACAGAATGGGTATATGTTAGTAGGGGCATATCAGGCAAGGCTTCTGATGCCATGTTAAAGATGGTAGACTTTATCTTTTTTTTTTTTGAGAGAGAGAGAGAGAGAGAGAGAGACTGTGGAGGGGGAGGGGCAGAAGGAGAGAGAGAGAGAGAGAGAGAGAATCTTAAGTAGGCTTCACGCTCAGCACAGAGCCAGATGTGGGGCTCATTCTCAATACCATGAGGTTATGACCTGAGCCAGAATCACAAGTGGAATGCTTAACTGACTGAGCCACCCAGGCACCATTAGGTAGAATAATTTTGACCGCAGGTCTCAGAAAAATCAACTACAATCTAAACAATGAGGAAATATATGATTTGGAAACTGAAACCCAGAGGTAGGACAGGCTTCAGTGCTGACTTAAACCACAGCCCTAGCTCCGTTTCTCTGCAAGTCTCTTGGCTCTGCCTTTTTTGTATGTTGGCTTTACCCTCAGCCTGACTGTGAAAAGGCTGCAGCCATTACAGGCCACATATCTAAGGAAACTACCATCAGAGGAAGAGACAGGCAGTTACTACTGAAAGCTCTCACAGAATTATAAGGAAGAACTTCTCCAGAATTTCAGATCAAATATTTCCTCACATTTCATTGGTTCAATCTGGTCACATGCCTGGTCCAGAACCAATTACTCACAAAGGGTTAAAATTACTTTTATACTGACCAGGTCAGTATCAGTCAGGGTTCTCCAGAGAAACAGAACTGATGGGGGGGGGGGGGAATCTACATCTACAAATCAATTACTACATTACTAATCTAATTACTAATCTAATTACTAATTACTAATCTAATTACTAATTAGTAATTAGATTAGATACCTGAATACTCTAGCCTACCTAGGTTGACACATAAAACTATCACAAGTTCTATTTCTGAACCTGTGAGGAGTGTGTTGAAGAAGGGTAGAAATGAAAACCTGTACAAAATTGGGGTTCTGTTAGGAGGAAAGGAGCGGATGTCAACTAGGCAAGCAAAAATATCTGCTACTGACATGGATCATAAATAAGTCCCGCTACATCTGTGATCTCTGCTAGTAATGCCCAAATTGATGACTTCTATTTATAATGATGAGCATTTTCTCATGTTGAAATTGTGACCATATTAGAGAGTCAAGTTTGGTAAGTGAATTTATAATCAGTGTAATGTTTGGAGAGGCAGACACACATAACAAAGGGCTTTTTTCTTTCTTTCTTTTCAAGATTTTATTTTATTTGAGAGAGAGTGAAAGCAAGAGAGATCACAGAGGGAGAAGGAGAAGCCACTGAGCGGAGAGCCCAAGGTGGGGCTTGATCCCAGGACCCTGAGATCATGACCCTAGCTGAAGGCAGATGAGACGCTTAACCGGATGAGCCACCCAGGCGCCCCAGAAGGGGCTTTTTTAAATTAGAAATTGTATCAGTGAATTAGAATTATGAGTTATAGACAAAACCATAGAGGCTTAAGATAGATGCTCATTGCTCTCTGATTCAAGAAGTCTAGAAGTTTTCAGTCCAGAGTTGTATAAGCACTCTGTGGTGTCAGGGTGCCAGATTTCTTCCATCTCGTTTC